TGTGGTGTTTGTATGAAGTAACGATTGTTTTGTACTTGATTTCTGGTTGATTTCAAAATCTAAATAAAATACGTTTGTTTGTGCTCATGTAGTTTTACTTGTCCTAAGTTGCACAATTCTGAGAATTCACAGGTGATACGATGAAACGTGCACTTTTAATTATGATATGGTCTTGTGTATTACGACTTTTCAATTTTTACCTTTCAAATATACCGAAGCTATACTATGATATGTTGGCAAATTTAGGAGTTAAAACGTAAAGAACCGCAAGATAAAAATCTGCAACCCGTCGAGCATAGTTTTGTCACGTTCCACAAGCTTTTCAATTTATTCGTATGCTATTTATCGGTCTGTCGACCTCACAGTTCCAGGACGAGCTAAAAGATCTACAACAATTTGTAGTGAATACTAGTGTAGGAACTTCATACAAAATGTCAAAAACGAGTTAGACGGGGTAGTTGTGGAAATCTTAAAGGAACAGTATCATACGTAAGCATTTGGAATAATTATATCCTTGATATCGCGTGTTCAGTCTCGTTATTAGTTAGACTGAGATTACCAAGGAAGGGTCTACAAACTCCTTTGCTAGCAGGTTCCTGACAACAATAATGGAGCAAGCATTAGTGCAGCATGTATCCAAACCCACACTTTTTGATGCTAACCAAGGTTCTTCTCTGTTGGACTTGGTAATCACTCACGAGACTGAGGATATTGTCAACCTAAACATTCCTCCACCGTTAGTGAACAGCGATCACGCTGTTTTGTCATTCACGTTTAAAACCAGGAAAATGTTATACGATCAAGTTACACCCCGCCCAAATGTGTGGAAAACTAACATATCAGCCATTCAGGAGTGAGCTGCTAAGACCTTGGCTTATAGATACTAGCTTATCAGTTGAAGAAGCATGGTCTGTATTTAAAGGTAGGTTTGGTTTTGTTACGTTTTCGTTCATACCATATCTGGTACCGCGTAGACCAACTAACAGTCCACCATGGATAACTAAAACAGTCAGGAAACTTCTTAGAAAAAGGAAGAATCATTGGTATATGTTCATCTCTACTGGCCTGGAACAATACAAATCCAGTTATTTTAAGATTGGGAATGCCTGTAAAGCGTTGATAAGTAATACTAGAAGGTCATACTACAAAAATTGGTTGGGGATTCTAGATATAGTCCGGAACGGTTATTCTTGTATTTAGAAAGGCGAACTCACAGAAGCGATGGAATTCCATCACTTTTGATACAAGAAAATCCGTTAATCTTGGCAGAAAACGATACCGAAAAAGCTGAAGCTTTATCAGAATATTTCAGTAAAGTGTTTTCTATCAGTAATGAATAACAACCAACGATTCATTGTGATTGTGGGGGCTCGCTGATGGACCCTGTATTCATTGAGAAAGATACTGTCTTAAGACTGCTTCAGCATCTCAAACCTGATAAGTCCAAAGGTCCAGATGATATTCATCCTAGGATTATGAAAGTCATATGAGATATAATTGCCGAACCTTTAGCGATACTGTTTGACATGTCTCTGAGGCACTTCAGACTGCCCAGAGACTGGAAAGACGTGATAATAAGTTCGGTGTATAATGCTAGGAGTAGAGATTTAGTTAGTAACTATAGACCCGTTAGCTTAACTAGTGCGGTTGTAAAAGTGATGGAAAAAATCCTTCGGATATCTGTTATAAACTATGTTGAAGGAAGTAATCTCCAGGGCACAACATGGTTTTCGGAGAGGCCTATCATGCTTGAAAAATCTTCTAATCGCAAGAGAAGATTGAGCTGCAACATAAGATCGGAATATTCCAGTGGAGGTGATCTTCATAGATCTAAGTAATGCCTTCGATAAAGTCTCTCATTCTGGTCTTAAATTCAAACTGGAACGTTTTGGAATCCATTATTCAGTCATAGATTGGATAAGTAACTTTCTCCGCGACAGGAGAAAAAGGATAGGGGTTAATAGAGTGTGATGATGCAATAAAATAACTATGATGATTCGTGTCACTACACAATATGTGGATTCGTGCTACACAAAGTAAGAAACTATAAAGATTTAGGAGTCATATTAGGCAGTGATCTCCAAACCACTAGTCACTGTAAGGCTGCTGCTGAGAAAGGCTATGGGGTATTATAGTCTGTTCGTTGGTCTTTCCAGTGTTTAGATGATGAAATGTCTAGATTATTATACCCGATTTATGTGCGACCACATTTAGAATATGGGATTCAAGCAGCGAGTCCTGGTTTCAAGTATGAAGCAGATATGCTGGAAACAGTTCAACGACGAGGTACTAAGATGGTACAATGTCTGTCTGGCCTATCTTATGAAGACAGACTGAGACACCTTAACTTATTTCCGCTATCTTACCGTAGAATACGGGGTGATCTAATATCAGCACTTTCTGTTGATATATTCAGAACGAGATTGGACCTCCACAGTGTTACAAACTGCAAGGATTAATATGGGTCGACAGACCTCCTACACTTATTACTGAAGACTGAAGACGGTTATTTGTCTAAAGATTGCCTACAATAGTGGATGATTTATTTTAATGTTCATACAACACAAAATTAACTAAAACATTCATCTTTGAAACTATTTTACAACTTGAAAAACACAGAAATTACATACAGAGCACTGTGGAGAACTATTTCAATCCGTCACTAACTGATCCACTACAACAAAAGTAAGCCTCAGGGATGTAATGTAACGCAGCAGAAAATATGGCTGGAAAAATTAGTAGATAAATCAACTTCATGATATAAGCTATACTCTATATAAAAATAATTATTAAAAATGACTTCTCTAACCATTGGGCGAACAGACAAATCAAATCTGTAGAGCTCAATGTTTAAAAACCAACATGTGATAAATTTTCACTCGTACTTATTTGCCACCATAGAGTTGCTGTACACAATAGTGACTTATTTTGTCACTGAGATGCGTTGATATACATCCCCGTATCCAACGCATTACTGTGCGGAAGTGAAATTATTTGATGACGATAGCACATACAGGCAGTTCAAACAAGTAAGGAAACAATGCACAAAGGATATAAGAGGAGATAGATTCCAGTATCAGATAAAACTGGCCAATAAATTTATCTCCGATCCGGAAAGCTTGCTCCGTCATGATGCCTCTCTTCAACAAACTGGAGTTTCCTGATATAAGGTCTTAATAGCATAAACGACAACGACGGTGTCGCTGCTTACTTATATCCAAAAGAGGTCAGCGCACAGAACATTCAAGTTATCTGTTGGTAGATATTATCTTAATACCCTCAAAAACTATGGAGTACCTGACATGTGATGGTCTATCTGACTATTTGCCATCTATGAACTTCTTATCACCTCGATAACACCCTTTTCAGGAAGGGTCTCTCTCGTATAACCGACTTGCCAACTGCGGTGGACAGGCGGACAATCGTCGTCGACCCCAAGGTCGGTGTCATATTCTTGGCCTTCTCAAAGCTTTTGATAGGGTCAATCATATGTCTTAAGCTAAAACAGGCACCAGGTTACCGTTAATTGATTGATTTACTTCATATCTAAGTAACCGACGTTGTGGGGTCAGGATGAATTTAAGGTGAGGTTACAATTTATGGACGACTTTTGAGCGACTCTGGACTGACCTTGGTAGTATCCGCCTAATATGTAGGACGAAATGAGGGTTATAAACTGGTGTGAGGACTTCGAATTAAGATTCGAAGTTGATGGTTAAAATTAGGATTTATATTTAGGGGTTTCATCACGAACTGACATCAGCTATAATGGCGAAACTCTATTTTGCCAAATCGATGAGTGTATTTTGCGCCCAAATCCGAAACCTGCTATCTTATATCTTATTGGTTCGTCCAAAAATTACAATCTCACAAAATTTCACTTTTTCTCAGGCTACGGAATGTTCTAGCTGGGTCTCTCAGCGTTCAGTTCTGTGACCTCACCACTTCTTAGTTCATATAAATGACCGATCCCAATGGGTATAGTCTGATTTAATATATCTCATGATGTAAAACTCTGGAGAGAAGTTTACAACCAAGATGATGAGCCAGTACTTCCGCAGGATCTGACTAGAATTCAAAATTTGACTGGTAAAAACGGACTTACCTTAAACAGATAAAGCTGTAGAATAGTCCACCTGAGACATGTTGCAGGTTAAACACACAATAAAGATAACTCCATCGTAAGGGTATCTAGGACTGTTGGTACCCTATGATCCGAAGTCTTACGTGGACCGTGACAAAAATATTTTTCGAGCAAACCCTGCACCGAGGATGTTGAAGCACATTTTTGGCCAGTTCGCCGGTAGAACTTTACGTCTAATCTTCAGTAGTTTTATTCGGCTCCATTTAGAGTAAGGAAACACAATATTTCCTCCCTTACTCCAAAGGGGATAAGAATATATTGGAACGGATACAGAGACAACCCACGAAATCGGTTCGGGGACTCAAGTTGAAGCCTTATGAAGAGCATCAAAAATCATTGAATCACCATCCATCAGAGTAAAAGCGTCTTAGAAGTGATTTTTCAATGAATTAGAGCGTCATAAACAATCATGTGCATCCCATTAAATACCTACTTAAGTTCAGTCCAAATACAAACCTTAGGGATAACACCCAGAAGTTAGCGACACAACACAGCAGAACGGACTGAGGACACACCTTTTACTAGAACCCACTGTCGAGTGGGCCAATTCTAACGACTTCGTAGGAGTCCTTTATGAAGAAACTTGACATATTCTTAAGGACTAAGGACAGTACCACGCTATGCTTTACTATTTGCTATTTCTCTTTCATCATTGAATATGTTTAAGTTCCTACTTGGAGGCATCGGTGATCCACTGCTACTAGACGCGTAATCATGTTAAGTGAAAGCTTCTTACATTCCGTCAAGAACCGTTCGAACTGTTTGAACGCACCAGTAATTTTGCCGCCGTTTGACTTTGGTGTGTACAGTGTGATCGGGTTCTTTGGATGCGCTCTGAAGATTTCCTGAGATCCACATGTCGCTCTTGTTTTTAGTGTGTTACCTACGATTTATTCCATCCATTGGAAGTCAGTAATACAGATACAGTTTGTAGCAATCTCATCTGTACGGTTACTGAGGTTACAAGTTTTTGAGGCAGGGTATGAATACATATTCCTTTTTGCCTATAAGTACTTAGTTTGCTTAATGTTTCTAAACGGTGCAGCCGTTTCTGTGGAACATAGTGTTCTATAGTAGAGATAAATATAAGATTTTATTCATTATCGATCAATGATTTTTTGAGTGCTTCAATCGGTTGAGACACTGGCCAACCGATGTGTTAGAAACACTATATCGCCCTAGACGTTTCGCTGAATATCACCTCAAACTCCCAAAAGTTTGCAGTGATTTGCCGAATTAGAGTGAACAAGCTGGAGCAATCGACCAACTAAGTTACATACTCAACTGTATTTAGCCTACGGAGGTTACAAAGACCAGACACACGTTCAGACGCCTGACAATCGTAGTATTTCTCGACCTTAAACTAGCATTCGACTTTGTTGATCGTGAGGTCTTATGGCAGTGTTTGTCACTGAAAGGAGTACCAAAAAAGTACATTAACCTTGTAAAGGCTCTCTACTCGAAAACAACTGGTCGTGTGAGAGCTTATGGCGAACTGTCATCAGAATACATTACCTCAAGTGGTGTTCTTCAGGGCTGTCCACTCTCTCCATTCTTGTTTAACTTTGTCGTTGACGTACTTTTAGAGATAACACTTTCCTCATCTAAATTTACAGGGGTTGAACTTCTACTAGGAGATTCACTTGTTGACTTGAAATATGCCGATGACATAGTTCTATTTGGTGAAAACGCTGACAAAATGCAGAGTCTTCCGATCACTCTAAGCAACAATACACGCATATTCGGGATGCGATTCTCCCCTTTGAAATGCAAAATGTTGCTTCAGGATTGGGTTGCATTGACACCCGAACTGATGATAGGGAGTGAAGTAGTTGAGCGTGTCGACCACTTCACTTATCTTGGAAGTCTGATCAGCCCTTGTGGTCTGGTGTGTGACGAAATCTCAGCACGGATACAGAAGGCTCGACTAGCTTTTACCAACTTGTGTCATTTATGGCGTGGGCGAGATATCCGTCTATCAACCATTGGAAGGGTTTGCTGCGCAGCAGTTCGTTCCGTCCTACTTTGTGGCAGTGAAACGTGGCCGGTAAGAGTAGAGGATATTCGTAGGTTACTAGTATTCGATCATAGGTGTTTTCGAAACATTGCTCGTATATCCCGCGACCATCGAGTAAGTTACGCAGTTGTTAGGAAACGGGTATTGGGTAAGGATGGCAAATCGATTGATGAAGTGGTGAAAGTTCATCAGTTGAAGTGACTGGGACACGTGTTACGTATGCCCAACGACCGACTGCCTCGATGTGCGATGTTTTGTTGCATAGGAGTATGTTGGAAGAAAGCTAGGGGCGGCCAGGCCAAAACACGGCATAAGTCTATGAAGTCACTGACAAGTGGACTGAGTCATGTTGGTAGGTGTAGACTACTTGGTTGGGGACCGCGAGATGATAGCAACCGATGGTTAGAGACCCTGAATGACATGGCTCAAAATCGTTTGCAATGGCACAGATGCATCCACTCTTTGTGTTCTCCCAAATTCTAATCTCCTGAATTCTTCATGTCCCTTTTTTCCTCTTTCCAAATTTCTTTCACTGGATTATACTCTTTAAATAACATCTCCAAACCCTAATCTTCCCGATTACTGCTTATACTTTTACTGTCTCTACCACTACGGGATTTGAATCGACAACTGCATCTCTGTGCTAATGTGGTATGACAACTCGAACTGATGTACGTACGTACGAAGTTCTACGTTGTTACTGACTTACAGACGTTATTTGTAGTATGAGACGGCTGTCGAGAGTGCCATATTTAGACAGGACAGAACAGATAGGTTATTTTTTGGCATTACTTTTTTGTTTATACTGAACTGAGTTTTCATTATAAAGTTTGGGAACTTGGACTACTTCATTTTATGCTAGTTTTCCCGTTGGTTTTATATCTAACCACCTGTTGCGTACGCTGTTGTTTCTTACGAAGTAAAAGTATGCACACTATTAGTAGACATACTTTTGTGAAACTTATGTGGATTCTTCCAGTGTTGAGGCTAGGTTGTATTTTGTATTTAGTTTTCTAATTAGGACATCCGTGCCATAAATAATTACACATTCTCTCGTCGTGAACTCTTGTCTTACATGAGTTTGAGACTTAAATAATAGTAATGTGAATCGTTTGATTGTTAATCGAAGCAGGAAAAGTATTTTCCATAATTGACATCCAGTGGCAACGCCGTGTTGGTAATGCAGATGTTCGGCATCGTGTGTTCGGGCACGGAGACGATAATGCGGTTGGTGTCACCATCTTGAAACACCAACCTCGGTGGCTTGGACATGTTCTACGAATGTCGTCCTAGAGAATTCCACGTCGTGCATTATTTGCCGACACTGGGACTGGTTGGAAAAAGTGGAGAGGTGGTCAGTGTATGACATGGTGTCGTAGTATTAAAGATAGCTGCAAGGGACTGGCTTCTGTTAGTCCTTCACAACTCCCTGGCTGGGGTCCTAGAGATGGTGCGACATAGTGGCTAGAGACCTTATCAGATATGGCTCAGAATAGGAGCCAGTGGCGATTCTGCTGTGACCTTTTACTTCATAAAAAGTTGTATCTTCCTTAACTGAAAGATCTCTTCTGATTGTACGTTTCTGTTTCCCCCATTATTGTTATTATTACACTACCTTACACTAATCTGTTCGTTATTGTCCTTTTTTTACGCTCCTTAAATTTTTCTTCCTTCTCTTCAAATTCTCATTGTATTGTGTGGCGCATATATATTTGGTGCCCTCTTGTACCAATATTTATGTGTCCAAATAAATAAATAAAATCAATAAATTGAGACTTAAAAATCCCCAAATCTTCCTTCTCAACCCAATAATAAGTTCACATCGTTTTTTCCATATGACATCGTCTCTCTTGTTACTAGATCGTCTTGGCTGAATAGGTCCTATACTTTTTTTCACTTATCATCATATTGCTTCATTTCAATAATTGAAACCCAAATTAGAATTTAGACATCGTATATTCTTTGTAATAAAGATAATGCCTTACATCTTAACTCAAAAGAATAAGCAATCCACTTTTTCTAAACCTCAAAATACTTATCCCGTTTCAAACCATTTGAAAATGTTACTTATTGAAAATGTACACTTATTTTTGTTTTCCGTACTGTAGACTGTGAACCATCTGGGGATCTATTGCCTTCATTTGGGGCTTATTTTGATAAAAGCGATTCTGGTCTTTTTAGTTCAAGATTTGATCCTTGTCACCATGCCAACGGTTTTTAGTTACCAAAGATATGCTTCAAAATCAGTTTTGCAACGATTGTTTTCTTCAGAAAGTTTCGGAAACATTTCTTGTAAATCAGAGAGAGTTCGGTATATTGGTCAACAAGCAGTTCAATGGTTCCCAGGGCATATGCGTAAAGGCATGGATGTCATTCATTCTAAAATGCCACTTGTTGATGTCATTATCGAAGTTCACGACGCAAGGATACCTTTCTCCGGTAGACCTGAGATTTTTCAGAAGTTTGAATTGGTAAGGAAACCAGTCATTTTTTAAAGAAATTTTCTTGCATTTTAGAATTCGAGTCCGTGTGCAGTATCTAGGTATCACCAAGAAACCTATCCGTTTCCATGATTAAGAATATTAAGTTTCATGTTAATCATTTGGCCCATTTGCCTTCAAATGCCCTGGTACGACAGAGAGTGGGGATAGTCACCTCTCGAAATGTTCTCAAATGACCACGTGCATGCAATCACTGCCAGAGAAGTCCTACTCACTGCCTTCTCAAGACGTTACTGTTGTTTATGAAATTAAGAAGACGAAAAGTGAGTGTCCGGCGCTTTAACCGGGTTGGTTGACACGGAGGATCCACCTAAAGGAGTTGGAAAACCCTGATTCCAAACCAATGGTGTACATGGTCTCCATGATCCTAAGGAAACAAATAGCGCATTAACCTATTGCTGGTCACTGGCTACCATGAGACTGCATTTTCATACGTTGCTCCACTGCTTTGTGGATTAAACCTTCAGGTCAAACGCTCGGGGATTAGCCTCCTAAGAAAACCACCTGTTTCGGCTTGGGCACCCGGGGAGTATCCCAGTCCTCACATAAATCGAATGATTTATGTGGCGCATATCTATTTGGTGCCTCATTGTACCAATGTTTATGTGTTTAAGTAAATAAAATTTGACCACTTCCCACTTTGACACCTTGATGAAATCTTTTCTGTAATACAGAGTCAAGTACACACAATCTTGTAAAAGCATTTCACACTAACTGTGAAGCACATACCAAATTCATGGTGCTTGTCTCCACTTGATTCAAAACCAAGTTACTACTTTTTACTTTTTCCCTAGTAAGATAACATCATGTTTTTTGGTCATCGTTATTTGTTGAGTTTACATCACTATACAATCTTTTTATAAATTCATTTCAAGGATCCTATGTGACAAAAGTAAGCTAGTGAGGTTCGGCATTTCTACTTGACCGTTTCTGATTTAAAGTGGTGTGATGTGATTCACATTAACCACTCTACTTAGGGTTTTTTTGACAGGGTTTTCGCGATTTTGGTTGACTCACCACATTTTCCTGTCCAATGAACGAAAGGTAGTCTTGATGTCAAGAAATGCAACTGTGGTTGGAACTCAGTGCTTGAAAGTGTTTGGTAATTTCAAGATAGAGCAACTTGTAGTGCTTTAATACTTGGCGCTTTCTCAGATTCCCCTAGTAAGTGGGTAGATCTACCTTGGGTTATGAACACAAGACAGTTAAGTAAAATATATTAAAGCAGTGAGCCAGCTAATGAAGTATTGTTCGCAGCGTTAAAGGTTCCTTCGATATATCCCCAGTGTTTGGGACATTTCACAAGCATTTCGTTCACAGTGTCCTTTGACCAACCTAAGACTATTAGGTATTATCTTTTTGGCTAATGCAAACGTTATACGTATGGCATGTTAAGTACTCTAGTTTCAAACACCGTCTGTTTATTTCACTGAGTGTAGCTTTCTGGGTTTTCTTTATTGAAAGTCTTAGTGTATTTTGTTGCGTGAAAGTGTTCGATTGAGTTGTAGCTTATTTCGACTCTTAATCCTTTATGGAGTCCTTCATAGTATTCGGTCTTTTTATATTAGTTCACAATATTTATTTATGAGTTCTTTATATTTTGAGTTAGTTAGGAGTAACTTATTTGGTGACTTTTATATCTGTCAGCATACATTTAAAGTTAAAGAGATTATGAGATCTTTATAAGCGTTCATTTTAATCGATTCACTTGTTCCTTAACTCATTCTTCTGTTACCATTCGTGTTGGAAATGCTGTCTTATATTTGCTTATGTTGTATTTTCTGAGCTGGGTGGTTTTATTGCAATGCTTTTGTTATCGTTCTGGAAAACATCAGTGTAAAATCAGCCTTTTGTGATAACCAAACAGTTCACTTCTACGTGAAGAAAGCGCTGATGATGTTATACAGCTTCTCAATTAATCTGATTATGTCATAGTAGTTTCCCTACAGATGACGCTTTTCCACTTAACTTTTTAGGGGTAATATCCTATCAGGAGTTTTACTTATCGGCTTAGAATACAAAGATGACGTAGTCTTGTTTATTGGGATGAGTTTCTCTCCCTCTAAATCTAAAATGTCTTAACACTAGTCCGTCAACTTAACCAGTGATAAAGATTAAAGTGACTTAACGTATTGACTACTTCACTTATCCTAGAAGTCTCATCAGGCCCGGTGGGTTGGTATCTATGTCTCGGGATGGATCCAGAAAGCTCACTTGGCCTTTGCCAACCTGGGTCACTTGTGGAGTAGTCGAGCGTATACTGTGCGATAGTCCGCTTTGTATAACCTTATGGTTGTAAAACTTGGTTTAAAAAGTAGAATACTTGGATAGGCTGCATGATGTTGATCATGGGTGTTTTTAAAGCGTTTCGTGGAATTAGTGGATGAGTAATGTTGAGGTTAGGCATAGGTTGCTAAGTAAACTTGGCAAATCGGTTAGTGCGTTTATAAGTCATCATCGACTGGGGTGGTAAAGACATTTGTTACGTATTCCCAGTCACATCGACGGGGCATGTTTCGTGGTATGAAGTCAGGTTAAAAGAAAACCAAGAGCGACCCAAATAAAACATGGGATCAGTCCATGAAGTCATCGACTATTGGTCTGAGCTACGTTGATAGATGCAGACTACCTGGTTGGGGGTGTGTTGGGTGATATACCTTAAAATCATCCACCGCGATTCATATAGATTCACTATCTGGCTTTCCCACATTCTTGACTTCCAGTATTTTTTCATGCCTTTTCACTGGCTTTCGCCATTCATCTTGCTAATTTCATATTGTGGTAATATTGTGTGACAACGTTGGCCAGCTCACATATCCACCAGGATATGTGTTTATGATGACTGATAACTAACTTCCAATTAAACCTATCAGCTCAGAAAACACGTAGCCAAATGTATTTACCTGAGCTACAAATCTCCATCATTTTGAAATACTTTTTTTATTGATGTGATTGAGTTGACTTCAGTTTTGCATATTCTTCATGTTTAATCTTTTTTCACGGTCATAGACCTTATTATTCGACTCAATTGTTATTTATCCTTTTTTAATTTCATATTTGTGCTTGTGTAATGTGACAGCTTGGGTCAATGAATACTTATTGTGACTGGTCTTGAACACTATGGTCGATAATTCACAACCTTTTTTTAATCTCTCAAATCATATTTTCCTGTTTTCCCATCTCATTTTGTCAATCTGATCATTCTGTTGGGTAAGAGTTTACATTGATTCTTCTGTGTAAAAGCTTTTGCATTGTACTGTCTGTCCACTACTGAGGGATATACTGGAAGTGTTTACAATGCTTAGTTCATTTTTAACTTCAAACACTGTGTGGAAATAAAGGTAGCGCAGATATGCTGTAAAATTGCCGAGCCTACAGAGGTAATCTAAGTATATTAATAAATCCGACCTATGATATTCATGTCATGTGCACACTAGAAAACTGTGTTTAGTTTCAAACAATAGTAAGTGGAAAACTACTGGATGTAGTCTCAGGCAGAATTTATCTAAGAATGAACTTATTCATTCTTCCAACATACTCATTAGATTGTTGAAAACATTAAAATTGACCGGAAATTTAGTTTTTCAGCCAAAATTATTTCTTCAATTATATGTTTTTGGCAATATTTTCAAGATGTCTCATCCTAGCCATAAATTTATGCTATCCACTGCGTTTCGTATAGCTGATTTTAAAATTTAATTGTATTTTTATATAGAATCGTCCTACAATTTTGTTGATGAACAAAATTGACTTGGCCGAACCAATTAGTGATCGGCAGGCTCATACAAATCGAATTGTTGAGGAATCACGTATTATTAAACGTGGTCCACTTGAAGTATACTATACTCAGCTTAACGCACCTGAAAAGCAGAAGGGGATTTTGAAACGACTGATGTCCAGGTTGGTAGGCTAGTCTTTGTGTTTTAACTTAAAGAAGCTTGAATACTTCACAAAATGATAGCTTTGGCATGATATATTGATAAAATTTCAATTGTAAGAATAATCTTGAGAAGTTTGTTTTTCTTCGGTTCAATTTTGATTTATTTTATTATTGTTTTTATATTATAGTTTACCTCATTTAGCTACTACCTCAGGGCATCCTGCCAATTCAGTTATAACAGTTATGGTCTTAGGTATTCCAAATAGTGGTAAAAGTACACTGATTAATGTCCTACGAAGTATTGGGCAGGGAGGTCCTGGGGGTGCAGCAAGAGTTGGACGCACAGCTGGTCAAACTCGTTCTGTGGGTCATCCGATCATTTTATACAGAGGAAACTCAAGTCATATTTCGGATGATACTGATGACAGTGTAATGGGTCTCACTGACTACAAAATTCAGGTGTTTGATACACCTGGTATCCTAGAGCCTCGTGCTCGAACTTTAAGTGAACGACTTAGCCTTTGTGTTTGTGGAGCTGTGGATTATTCATCTCTTCAACCAGGTAATAATTCATTTTCTAATAAAAAAGCTCCTGATTTATTTTGGTTACATTTTTCTCTCTCTTACATATAGTGGTCATTTAATTTTAAGTAATCTAGAGTTTGATTAAGAAAATGAAAAACCGTGACCCTTTTACTCATAATTTTTTTTTCACCAGTTACTTGGGGACAGATGTGTTAGACGAATATAGATTAATTTAAAGCACGTTGCGTGCAGGTTTGTGTTCGAGCACGCTGATTGGCTACTTGTCCAATCAGCGCTAGCGAATGCTTGTAGAAGACTCTAGAATCTTCACAAGTAAAAACTATAAATATACTAACGTTTTTCTTACTGAAATTCCTACTTCCATCTACCCTTGTTATTTGGAATGCAGTCTTCGTTCCTGTTCAACCGTGTTCTGATTTGGGGATTTGTCGAGTGAATCCCGACTGTTGTTGCTACCTTGACGTGGTGGTCGGGCTTGCCTATCGTGATGAAGCAAAGAGCTATACTGCCTGGAACAATCGTTCTTAAAAGTTCTGCCATGCCAGAGAGGTCGGTTGAAGAGCGGTAAGACTAAAAGTAACAAACTCAAGGTCCGAAGGCGAAGTCGTACTGCTGACTGTACAGAGGTGTGGCAGCAGTAAGGTGTTTCCTTCAGACAACCAGCATGACAGCGATGCTGCCTTCCCACAAGGAGGGGTGGGGTTAGAAAAGGTTGACTCTAAAAATGCACACCTCGTCTTATCACACAAACATCCGTCTCCGCCGGTAGGGTCTCAACAAGTACGGAGATAACACAAAAATTACCCATAAAAAGGTCGTGTGTGACCGACCTCAAGCAGTTGTCCCTTGGGCACTGCGGTCACGCTCCCAGGTCACTAAGACCACCTCTAATCCAATTTCCTTTTCAGGTACCTCCAGAAGAACCCTTCCACGGTGTGGGCAACCGGGAAGTGATAACCGCCCTCATACCTCCAACAGCGCTCAAGACCATTGTATTCATAATCAATCTCCGTCTTCACTTCCTATTATTCCTCCTACATCGACTTTCACCTCTAAACTTCCTTTTTCGGCTTCTCCTTCAAGTGTCATCATAGCCAACGATTCCAGTGCGCAAAACACTCCCAGGTCTACTGAAACTTCGCTGCAAACTACACATTGGAGCCTTCAACGTACGCACCCTATGTCAAATCGGTCAACAGGCTTCCTTGGCTAAAACCCTAGAATCTCGTACCATTGATGTATGCTGTGTCTCTGAAACACGCATACAGGATCCCAGTGTGGTCATTCACTTGACCTCACCTCGGCGAAACGGAGAGCCAACGAGATACACCCTCCGTGTATCTGGTGACCTGACGGCCAGCTCTCGTGGACTGGAAGGAGTAGGGATAGCACTAAGCATGAAGGCGGAACAAGCACTGTTAGAGTGGATCCCCGTTAACAGTCGTTTATGTTTTGTTCGGCTAAACGGCTCCGTAAGGACTCGGAAGGATAGGGATACACGTCGTTGCCTTTTTGTCGTTTTTGCCTACGCTCCCACCGACTCCAGCTCAGATGAGATGAAAGATGAATTTTACAGAAAGCTCAACGTTCAGATATAGTACTTGTAGCAGGTGACTTTAATGCCGAGGTAGGTAGATTAAACCAAACAGAAAGACATGTAGGTGGGTATTTTGGTATTCCGGCTCAGCGAACAAATAGTGGTGATCGTCTGCTGCAACTGTGCTCAGACAATCGTTTATTTTTAGCAAACACAAATTTTAAGCATCAGGAGAGACATCGCCTAACATGGCTCTGGAAACGATGAAGAGCGACAACAGATCAGATCTATGTTAAACAAAAGTTTAAGGAACGACCGTGATCAGTGGTGGCCAACGAAAGCAAAAGAGATGGAAAAGGCGGCAGCTATAGGGAACACAAGACAGCTCTACAGACTAATAAAAGAAACTGGAATTAATAAGTCATGTGTAAGTGAGACTATCTCGGAAAAAGACGACACCCTCATCTGCTCTCAGTCCAGACGTTTAGAACGATGGGCGGAACATTTCAGAGAACAGTTCAGCTGGCCTCCAGCTACTCTACAACTACCCTCCATTCCCAGACAGTGTGAATGGAACATTGAAGTAGGTCCCCCAATTCTAGCAGAAGTCCAGAAGGCTATAGTTAATCTGAAACGAGGAAGAGCAACTGGTAGTGATGGATTGGCTCCAGATGTCTTGATGTATGGTGGTCAAATTTTAGCGATCAGGTTGACTAATGTTTTAACTCAAATCTGGGAATTGAATGTAATACGTAGATGATATAGTCCTGTTTGGTGAAGGCGCTGATAGAATGCAGAGTCTTTTGTAGCACTAAGCAACAATGCCAGGATGTTTGGAATGCGCTTCTCTCCCTCTAAATGCAAGTTGTCGCTTCAGGACTGGTCTGCGTCAACACCTGAACTAAGGATAGGGAGTGAAGTAGTCGAACGCGCTGACAACTTCACTTATGTTGGAAGTCTGATCAGCCCTAATGTGTTGGTGTCTGACAACATCTCTGCACGGATTCGATAATCTCGCTTGGCTTTCACCAACTTACGTCACCTATGACGAAGTCGAGATATCCGTCTATCAATTAACGGACGAGTATACTGGGCGGCAGTCCGTTCTGTTTTAATTTACGGCAGCGAAATATGGCCATTAAGAGTAGAAGACACTCATAAGCTACTAGTATTTGACCACAGATGCCTTAGAAATATTGCTGGCGTCTGCTGGGATCACCGGGTAAGTAATAGTGAGGTTAGACGCAGGGTATTAGGGAATGATGGTAAATCAGTTGATGAGGTTGTGAATCTTCATCGACTGAGATGGTTGGGCCACGTGGTACGTATGCTCGAACACCGATTACCACGACGTGCAATGCTAACCGGTGTTGGGGATGGTTGGGGGAAAGTTAGGGGCGGCCAAACCAAAACGTGGTATCAGTGCTTAAAGTCACTAACTTCTAGTCTGAGCCATGTTGGTAGATGCAGACTACTTGGTTGGGGTCCGCGTGACTATCGTAACCAATGGTTGGAGACTCTTGGTGACATGGACCAGAATCGAACACAATGGCGTCGGTGTACACACTCTGTCTTCCCTTAAACTAAGAGATTAAAATCGCTTCATATCTTTCTTTCTACGAACTAATTCTTTCTTCCTGTACTATGTCCTTATATGCAATCTTTCTTTTATATATTACCACCACTGAATTAACTACTTTTACGAATGTGGTGTCCATCTTGTTGTGCTAATGATGTGTGGTAACTTGGACCGATGCATATATGTGCCTGGTCCTAAGTTCTAGCTGACTGACTGACGAGTGAATTAGTGTGCACGACTACTTTGCATTAGGAGTAGCTTGGTCGTAAGAAGTTAAATTATAACAAGGTCTAATTTTAAAAGTTTGATTCACTGATTTAAGACCTGTAGACTGTTGATTCAGGTTATAATGAAACTAGTCTTAATAGGTCAGGTAAACGGTAACACATTCTCTATACCATTGTGGTTACTTGACTACCTTGTGATTGGAGATACTTGATTTCTGGTCGACGAGTTATATATGTTTTGACATAGGGGGTTTTTGAAGCATACGATTGTGGTTGAACCCACTGTTTTTAATGAGTGTAAAGGTTTGTTTAACAATAAGTCTGACGGATAGTAGCATGAAAGACTTAGGTTTGATCATAAAGGATAATGTGGCGTTAAAGTATCCTGATCATTTAATGACTAGTGATGTGTTTCGCATTTCTAGTTGGAGATAAAATATGTTGACTAGTTAACTAACTGGAATTTTGTGAAACCTGTAGTATCTTTGCATATCTTTACTCACTATTACACATTTGGTTCAGTATATCATGTATAAGATGTCTAACCTTAAGTTTATTTCAGAAATATATCTGTTCTGGGTATACATTAACTGGTGCAAGTAGTAGCCGATTATACAGATGATTCAATTATGCTTCAAGCTGCACTTTCCCAAATCATCGTTTTGTTTGCTTGTCGTTGATTAGTGTATCATAGATGATTGTTCCACACCAAGTAATTTGAGAAGTGCTTTCCCTGAGAACTAGGTTTAGTTACTTAGCACCTTGTTGATTTGATAATTCAGTTGTAACGATACTATCAATTCACCTTTTAGTAGGATGAAATTAAGTAAGAAAGAATATTTTTATTTCTTATATTTTCCAGTCACTGCTTATTTGTTTCAACTCATTTTTAAAATTGAATTCCTGTTTATTTGGCCTTAAACTTTTAGAAGTACTAGTGGATTACTTGTTATTTTGGTTGAATCGTCGTCAACGTACAGAATACGTTTCTCTTTTTGATTTACCTGGTCCTACCACTGATGTTAACGAATTATTGATCAGCGTGTGCTTTAAAAACAAATTTTTCCTGACTGTATCTAAACCAAGTTGGTTACCTAACGAAATAGAAACTTCAGATGAGTTATTTAAAAGTAATATCACTCAAAAGATGGCTATACCTGATATTAAACGTGCTGCCTTTCATATCCTTAGCTTATTTAATAAAAGATATTTTGGTCCAGTTACTTTCTTACCTGAGGATGAAAAGTTAGCGGATAATTTCTTTCATCTTGCTTAGAAATGTTGAAACGATTTTTTACTGAGCGAATGCTTTTGTAAATTGTACATAACACATTATTTGCAAATAAATAATCTACCTATTGATTGCTTTTTTAACTTTTATTCAACTGAATTTATTTTGTGTTGATATCTATCTGTATTGTGATAGTTAGTGCATTTATTGAGAGTAGCAATAAAATTCCGCCAGTTTTACTGATTAACATTTTTGTTGAAAGTTCATATCTCATTATTGTGCTTGAACACATTTCTAGGAGATTTCAGTAATTTCCCTAGATTAAGAAATAAGTTTACTTCAATTTCAGTTTAGAATTAAGCCATCTAGCTTATAGAATGCAGCATTATTGTAATCCCTCTCATCAACTGCCATTCTTCATTCACTTTACCGATAAAACAAACTTGTGCCTTGGTCTCTGGAAATTTGTTCGATATAGATGTTTATTAGCGACCCGTTCCGAGCAAAGGCAGATTTGAAGCCTTTTCTTTTTACCAGGTTTTTACAGTCCGGGCGAAATCTATAGCTTCCTTAAAGTAATAAATGTGATTATCATCCCATCGCATAAGTTATTTCATGTTTTCATTTTTATCAAAATATCCCGTTGTTACCCTAATTTATCATTTCTGTATGTATTGTTTTCAATCCAGTAGATAACTAGAGATAGTAAGTATGGGTAGCGCTCAGATATATTAAGTTTATACCAGTTATTCGTATATGGAATTCTCAAGTGTCTTTCCGATTTCTAAATATAACTCTTTGCTTATTATTTCATTTTAGATGAATGATCATCCATCAGAACCTCTTGAAGGAGACAGTTTGGACAAATTAAATAATATTGATTTAAGTCGCTCTCCAGATAATTGGTCTGATTGGTTTTCCTATATTTCTCTAAAGGTTAGTGTAGACCAATTACTTTTTTTCAGCATTCTTATTCATACAATATTAGTGAATTGGTTTTCCAAAATAATATAGTTTGAATCTAGTTCATTTATCTTTTGTGTGAAATTCATTTTCACCTGCTCATCTTACCTTATTTTTTTCTTCGAATCATATAGGTCTTTATATATTTCTTCAAAACAGAATAATTGTATTACAACTAGTTTAGAGTAATTTGATTGCATCTACTATCATTATTAAGTAATATTATCAATGAAAATCAGCTTTCTTTCATTTGTCAGCAGACACGACGGTAGTAATAATTAGTTTCTTAAGGCACGAGTTATGTAGTCCTTACTGAAACTGAGTTGTTTCAATTAGTTGCATAAAATCATTGAGTGCTTATGTTGTTTTACTGGGATTAGTGTTCAGCGTTAGTCATTCAATGCAAAAATTTTGACTATTCATCTTGTTAAGTGGATTATTTACAAAATATTATTTGATGCTAACAGAAAAACGTTTTATCTAGTACAAAGTCTGATTTAACAAACGTTAACATCTATAAATACCTATGGTTTCTGTACAAAATCTAACCTTGGAGTAAAGTGTCTCATACTTTTGCGTCTTCTTTCTGGTGTTCAGGTCGCTATATAGTTCTAGCGTGCGGGTTATCAGAATAGCTTAGGAACGAATATAGCGTACAATCGACAAGACTTAACAAAATCAGCTGGTCAAATTTATTTAATTGATAGTTGAGATAATCTTTGATTTTTCACGCGAAATCAATTAAGCAGAGTTCACGTATAATATCTTTCGCTAACACCTTGATTACATGTTAATAATGGAATATAAGAATGGGGCCTAAGCTGCACATTTTGTCTTATTTGGGATTCGTCATATGGATGTTCCTGCTTAACACTGGTTGTTGATTTCCATTAGAAAATTTGAACTCAGTTTTCGAATCTTCAAACAGCTCTTTCAGATAGTAGATATCATAAAGTAATAGCGCATTGGTTAAATTTTATCTTTTAAGGCTGTAAGTGAATCATCACCGGCTAGGATCCTGTTGTCTCTATCTGTCAGGTCCCTAGTAAAAGAGTCAAATAACCTATATCACACTTGTTTCCTATTGTGTATCACTACTAACTAGTTTTCTGGAGAATTTATAAATTTTTACTACCTTTCAACTAAATCGAAAATTCATGTATATTGTAGTCAAAATCGCCGTCAAATTGGATCATTCAGTTACATTGTAAGCTCCACATTTAATTACATCCATACACAAATGTGTGTAAAATACTGTCGTTGGATTTCCATCATATTCATTTGTATATTTAATTAGATACTCAGGTATGTGACTGAAACGGAAACTCATATCTTTTCAAATTAAAGAGCTCATATGATAGATGTGTACTTGGAAACAAATTGTTCTTCAGGGTACCATAACTGAATAGGTTATATCCCTGCCAGCTCGAAAACGCCCTGACTTTAGCATGCAATTGTAATGTTATGATTATTCTCGATGCATTATTGTACGTATTGTTCTTTTTGTTTCCTGTTTTTTTTTCAGTTCGTATTATATGTAGCTAAAAGCCCGTGGGAATTTCTTACATCAATATTAATAATCCTCACACCTCTCATGATAATTTGTGCTTATTGTTCATATAAGTTGGCTAAAGAATTAAAACGTCAAGAAGTGGATCAAAAGATGAAGGCTAAACGTACTGCTGCCATTAACAAATCTAGGAAGCAAGTCAAAGTGGATTAAGTAAATTAATTTAAGAACAATTTTAGTTATTACACAGTTATGTAACTTTAGTTAACTCTTATTGATTTCTTTTAAATTAAGAATATATTTTATTAGTTAGTGTAAACTAATAGACTTTTTGATTATCGATACTTCAAAACTGAAATTTGAGTTGATTTATTTTCTTATCTATATAATAAAATATATTTAGATTTGGCTGCTCGTTCCTGGCCCAGTATTCAACTTTTTATAGATTTTCTACTTGTTTTTCTCTCGCTCTCTCTGAACATTGATAATATAAATTAGATTTGTCAACTAAAGTATTAAATAAAAAAGATTGGTTCAGCGAAGAATTCTCTTTTCAGCGAATTCATTTTCAAAGCTTTACAATCGCAAATATATACTTATTTTTCAGGATGATAATTACAATATTAATGACAATATACTTCTGTTAGATATAGTAACAGTGAGGTAGGATTTTTTTATCAACAGGCGAATTAATAATATATTGTAAATTTCCTTGAGAAAGCTTGGACCGGATTGCCAGGTGAAACGTTGGATTTACTTCAAATTCATTCGCTGAGATTTTACAACTACATTCTTCCTCTTTAAGGCGAATAAATAACAGTTTGACTGTTAAGGACTTAAATATCCATCATAAAGGTAGATAGGAAGGTCATCATTGTAAAAGGATGACTCAGTATCATAAGACAATGCTGAAATTGAGATGAAATGTAATCAAGAAAATCATAAAACCAGAAATAAACCAGTTGGGGGTAAAAAGTTTAAGGGGAAAATGGAAGGGAAAGCAGATGGCTGTGAAGGAAGATGAGTATGAAAAAAATTATGGGACATTAAGACCATGGTAAAAGAAGAGGTTGTACCAATCTCTTTTGGACACACCGTTCTGTTTTCCCAGATGTACGGCTATTACTTCGGCAATGTTAAGAAGATACAATATGACTGCCTTTGGAAGACTTCTACACAGAGTCCGTCTTGACTGAGTGACCTGTGCTCACAAGGTGTTTGATTATTAAACTTCTTATTGAGCCGTTTCCCCCTCTTCTTAACCCCGCTGGGTAATGTTCTTGAATTCTTTTGGATAAATTACTCATCGAATGACCTGTATACCTAGCTCCACATGAGCAGATAAATTGGTAAATGAACATTGAGTTGGTCAGATGAGATAATTTATCCTCAAGATTATTGATGAACAATGATCGGCAAAAGAAGACTAATCGCAATGTTGCTGCGAAGAACGCTCTTTTTAAATAATCAGAAATTTTCCTCTTTAAGACGTTTGTAACTCTATCACATTTAAAGTTGATGTTCATGTATAATTTTTTTCTTTTCGACTGGAGTTATTATGTTTTCGGCCTTATGTTCTTATCAATGAATATTGAAGGATACTCGTACATTTTGAAAATAAATCAGTGTGAATTCAACCAATAAACATTGTAATCCTTGCTTTACAGAAGCTAAATACAAATGTATTGCTTCAAAGTTATATTAAAATTGAATAAACTCAGATAATGGTTATCTTTTTTTATTCATAACAGGAATTTCCATTATTTTCTTGTTCTTATAATATCAACACACTGACTCTCTTCATTATCAACAAGGCAGTTTCTTTTCATCGTTCAAATCAACAGGATATTGAGCCGCATATATCATTTCAGATAATCTATTCTTGTCGTCAAAATCCACACTTTATAACACTAAATTCAACAATTATCTACCCAGTGAATTATCCATGGTGAATTTTTTAGATTAATACAACGTTAAATTCAATTGTGTAGGATATGTTTTTATCATTTATTATTATGTTCACTCATCATCCCTTTTTTGCTCTCGGTTTTGCAGGTATGGGGAAACTTTATTAATCTGATGAACATCGTTGCGCCAACTCTCTATTGTATAAACTATTCCAGTATATGTGATATTTCCTCTTTTTTTATAGAACTCCTTTCATTTGTGTAATAAACCGTTTTAATTTGTACCTATGTGTAAATTTGACGGAAACGTTTATTAAGATTGGTGCTAAACAATGTGTGCACGTATACTGAATCGTCTTATTGTTAAACTTAATTTGTAGTGCTTAATATTGTGGATTTTTCGTCTTTACTTTATACAATTTATTTTTTACCTGAGAAGTATTTGCTTTTTTTATTATCCTTGGTTGTACTATGCAGTTTTTGTGCTTAGTACATACTAATGGTAGAAAAACTTGCTCGATTACAATAATTAAACGTCATCACAATGGCTAGTCATCCAACATCCACTTCTCATTTAGTGATAATTTAGAATTCGATATTTGTCTGATAAGAATGCGATGTTTGTTGTCCACATGTATCACTTGCACCATCTGATAGTTGATAAAGTGCCCAATCACGAATGAGGTTTCTAAGCCCCAGAGCAATTTATGGGGTAGCTGATTACAATGTGGTCTTGAGTGCTGTTAGAGGTATGAGGGCGGTTATCACTTCCTGGTTGCCTACTTCGTGAAAGGGTTCTTCCGGAGGTACCTGAAAAAGAAATTGGATTAGAGGTGGTCTTAGTGACCTGAGAGCGTGACCGCAGTGCCCAAGGGACAACTGCTTGAGGTCAGTCACACATGACCTTTTTATGGGTCGGAGACGGATGTCCGTGTGATAAGACGAGATGTGCATCTTTAGGGTCGACCTTTTCTAACCCCACCCCTCCTTGTGGGAAGGCAGCATCGCTGTCATGCTGGGTGTCTGAAGGAAACACCTTACTGCTGCCACACCTCTGTACAGTCAGCAGTACGACTTCGCCTTCGGACCTTGGGTTTGTTGCTTTTAGTCTTACCGCTCTTCAACCGACCTGTCTGACAAGGTAGGACCTTGAGAAACGGTTGTTCCAGCCAGTATAGCTTGTTGCATCATCACGATAGGCAAGCCCGACCACCACGTCAGTGTAGCAACAACGGTCTTAGCCATGTTGGAAGGTGCAGACTACGTGGTTGGGGTCCGCATGACTATCGTAACCAATGGTTGGAGACTCTTGGTGACATGGACCAGAATCGAACACAATGGCGTCGGTGTACACACTCTGTCTTCCCTTTCTTCCCGTACTATGTCCTTATATGCAATCTTTCTTTTATATATTACCACCACTGAATTAACTACTTTTACGAATGTGGTGTCCATCTTGTTGTGCTAATGATGTGTGGTAACTTGGACCGATGCATATATGTGCCTGGTCCTACGTTGTAACTGACTGAGCTGATTACAATTAAAACTCATGAAAATTCTTAGCATAAAGTAGCGTGTCATCGTATTTCGTACGATATTGATAACTAATACTTGTTATATGACAGCAGATTCAAAGACCTATTGCATCCAGTGTGGTTATTTTATATATAGAGCTTGCTATTTCATTTTTCAGACAAACATAACTTAGTGTTGAGAATACAAACACGTTATGTATCACCATAATACAAATTCTGTTATTAATAAGTGTAGCGTTACTCAATTGTAAAAAAAAACGGCGTATTGAGATGCTATTTAACTGATATAACGGGTAGATTATAATCAAGATCTTAAACATTCAGTGATTCACATTCGCTTATGAATTTCGGCTGTCGCCTAGTTGTACAGGCACTCAACTTTCAACCATTGGATTACAGTTATAAACGTTGCTCAGTCTATTGTAGTTTATAAATCTGAATATCTATTACACCTAACCGTAACTCGAAAATTACTATGCAAAGCTTATGAGACAAATCCGCATTATAGGTTGCATATTTGGAGATATTCATGGAATAGATCTAATTGACTTTTGTAGGTGGACTTGACATTTCATTTACTGGCGATCAGCTCGGATTACCAAATTTTAGCCAAACCATAAACGAGCAGCTTCACTCTACTGTGAAGTTAATAATAGTGTCAGCAAATATTGTCGTGTGATATATATGCTTTGACAATTATGATAAGTACACTTTTACTAATTACATTCATGTTTATATTATCCGAACTCGGTATTATGAAGTGATTTACGAAAATTCATTTTCTAACTTGTTGTTTTCAACGCGACGTAGGCTGTGTAAAGCGATCTCCTAATGGTTCTAATAAAATTTTCTTTTTATTAGCAATAAATAGTCTGTTCAAAATGTATAAACCATTTTATTTATCACCCGACGTTATTTAGCGAAGTCATGATATTCAGGCTATTTGAAGGCACAAATAGAGTGATCATGTCCCTCAATTTTATTGTACATAATCTATAAACAATTTCTAATTTTATTCGCTTGTCTCCTGGTCACTAACATTATGTTTATAAGCTGTATTATGTAAACGAAGGAATGTATTTGATATCCAAAGTTTTTACGTACGAAGTGTAATATAAACGCAATAAGACTAAATGGCACTTAGCGTCTAACAAGCATTTTATTATTCGTTGCCTGTTGAAGAACATTGGTTCCTAAGACGTACAATTATGACAGCTTAAGACGAAACTGTTTGCAATGCATTCTTCCCGACAGTTCTCTAGCTGCTTATATTTTATGGCAGAAAGTGTTCTCATTAGCCCAATCTTTATAAATTAATAACAAACAAAATCTATTCAGTAATTTTGTTAAAAAACGTAGGTGAACTGAATTTCCAGATAACGTCTTATATGAACTTGAAATGATATCCAAAGTGTACCTAATTCTTTCGCGGATATGGCTAAAGTAAAGCATATACGATCCTGTTTCCATAAGAATACGTATTTCTTCAAGATTACATACAAAATCTGTCAATAGTTTACGGGATATATGAAGTTTAAATCTACAGTCTTTTACGACCAGCTACACACCGAAATTTGGATAGTTTGACAGTGAGGACAACAAAAAAACCGAACGAAATAATTAAGAATTTATTTTGAACTTATGATTAAACAAAATATGGAATGTTAGTTAAATCAGAGAGATCATATTATTTATCATTGAAATCAAGGGAATTTAGGTTTTATCATTGATTAGTTATTAAAATCAACTTTAATGATTGGACCAATCACTAAACAATCATTGATTAGAATCATTCAGGGAACGGATAGGGAAGTGATCCACCTTCTACGTAAATTGACTTCAACTGACTGTAAGCCATTAACGTATCAAATGAATTTTCTCGACCGAACCCAGATAGTTTATAACCTCCAAATGGAATACCAGGTGGGTAAACATTGTAACTGTTAATGTATATAGAACCACATTGTAGTTGTGAGGCTATACGATGGGCAGTCGCTAAATTTTGTGTAAACACTCCTCCAGCAAGACCGAATTCACTTGAGTTACGAAAAAAATCAAAACATTTAGTCATATGTTTTTGAATTCACTGAGCAAACAAAACACTACTCAAACTTCTTTCTTTCTCTAAAGAGCAACAGATTTCCATTAATCTACATAGATACAGGTTACCATAGCAATACAGATAAAAATATTGTATTACAGTCAAACAGATGAATATTTCTTTATCAATGAAAATAACAATTAAAAACTGCACTAGATATGTTTAAATAAATCATGTATTTTACAGAGAATTGACACCTAGCTGGAGGACCAATTAAAATCAATAAACACTGAATGAGTGGTTCATTTTGAAATGATGACGAAGATTTACAGCTCAGGTGGATATTTTTAACTAAGTAAGAGGTAAAGATGCTGTTTAGAATGCCAACGAAAGCTCTGAAAACAGACCATTCAGCCTAGGAAACACAACCAACGAAAGCTGTTTTTGGGTTTCACATTCCTTAGTGGTGCATGGTCACAAACCAACTCATAATCAAACTTATGAAGTTTAATTCTTTTGAAATAGCAGTAAAATTGTTCTTTTTCATGACAGGCAAACAGTTTCAAAACGAGATATTGACTTTTAAAGCACATCAATAGTATAGGTATTTTTAATAGGACAGCGTTGATTTACGCACATAATCCGATTTTGTAAATAACATTTCGTTTATATTTTCAGGATTTAAGTGTAAAAATACTTCATGAGTCTAGAAATCCGCTAAGAAGTTTCAAGTATTTAACTTAGTCACTGATAAACCCGACCGTTGTTGCTACATTGATGTGGTGGTCATGCTTGCCTATAGTGATGAAGCAACCGAGCTATACTGCTTGCGCCTCACAGGAAGCTAAAAAGCCACACAAAAATGACCCATTGGAACTGAATTGAGTAATGAGTAGGTTCGTGGAACAACTGAGGTCACACTTAGGTAGTTCTGAAAACGAGGCTGACCTAGGTGTTGCTTGGAAAGATATACAAACGGCAGTGACATCTGTTAGTGATTTAGACCAAAGAGTTACAAAGAACCAATGGATTTCTTATAAGTCTATTGCACTGATGAATTCTTATAAACTCATTCCATCAGGCTCTGAACACGATGAAGAGCGACAACAAATAAGATCTATATTGACCAAAAGTCTAAGGAACGACCGTGATCAGTGGTGGTCAACGAAAGCAAAAGAGATGGAAAAGGCGGCAGCTATAGGGAACACAAGACAGCTCTACAGACTAATAAAAGAAACTGGAATTAATAAGTCATGTGTAAGTGAGACTATCTCGGAAAAAGACGACACCCTCATCTGCTCTCAGTCCAGACGTTTAGAACGATGGGCGGAACATTTCAGAGAACAGTTCAGCTGGCCTCCAGCTACTCTACAACTACCCTCCATTCCCAGACAGTGTGAATGGAACATTGAAGTAGGTCCCCCAATTCTAGCAGAAGTCCAGAAGGCTATAGTTAATCTGAAACGAGGAAGAGCAACTGGTAGTGATGGATTGGCTCCAGATGTCTTGATGTATGGTGGTCAAATTTTAGCGATCAGGTTGACTAATGTTTTAACTCAAATCTGGGAATTGAATGTAATACGTAGATGATATAGTCCTGTTTGGTGAAGGCGCTGATAGAATGCAGAGTCTTTTGTAGCACTATGCAACAATGCCAGGATGTTTGGAATGCGCTTCTCTCCCTCTAAATGCAAGTTCTCGCTTCAGGACTGGTCTGCGTCAACACCTGAACTAAGGATAGGGAGTGAAGTAGTCGAACGCGCTGACAACTTCACTTATGTTGGAAGTCTGATCAGCCCTAATGTCGTTTGGCTTTTGCCAACTTACGTCACCTATGAAGAAGGCGAGATATCTGTCTATCAATTAAGTAATGGACTAGTATACTGCGCAGCAGTTCGTTTTATTCTAAATTACGGCTGCGAAACGTGGCCGTTAACGTTAGAATTTACTCATAAGCTACTAGTATTTGACCACAGATGCCTTAGAAATATTGCTGGCGTCTGCTGGGATCACCGGGTAAGTAATAGTGAGGTTAGACGCAGGGTATTAGGGAATGATGGTAAATCAGTTGATGAGGTTGTGAATCTTCATCGACTGAGATGGTTGGGCCACGTGGTACGTATGCTCGAACACCGATTACCATGACGTGCAATGCTAACTGGTGTTGGGGATGGTTGGGGGAAAGTTAGGGGCGGCCAAACCAAAACGTGGTATAAGTGCTTAAAGTCACTAACTTCTAGTCTGAGCCATGTTGGTAGATGCAGACTACTTGGTTGGGGTCCGCGTGACTATCGTAACCAATGGTTGGAGACTCTTGGTGACATGGCTCAGAATCGGTCACAATGGCGTTGGTGTATACACTCTCTGTCTTCCCTCAAACTAAGAGATTAAAATCGCTTCATATCTCTCTTTCTACCAACTAATTCTATAGCTTTTGGTTATTATGAATGATATTGATTAGCTGCAAAACATTACAACTGGGAAGAGAGTTTTAAAACAGTTGACTATTTAACATTAGAAAAAAAAAGACAAACCTATCATTTGAACGTCGGACAACTTCTTCTTCTGTATCAAATTCTAATAAAGTAATAACTGGACCAAATATTTCTTCTTTCACAACTTTCATGTTATCATGACAATTAGTCAAGATACATGGAGTAATAAAATTATCACTATTTAAATTACTGACTTTAAATTTTAGCTTTTCACCACCATACAATAAAGTGGCTCCTTCAGAAATGGCTGATTTTATATAATTATGTACCTTTTGCCGATGTTCAGGAGAAATTAAAGCACCCATGGAAACTTTTGGATTGAAAGGATCACCGACTAAAATTTGCTTAACTGATTCAATAAGTTTTTGAGTGAATGATGCCACAATAGATCTGATATGTTTTAAAATAAAAAAGAGATAAGTAGAGGGATTGATTTATATAAATTGAAATTAATCTATTTAGATCATTGGATTATCTACCTAGTTTTTAAGTGTTTATAAATATTGTCACAAAGATTTTCGTTTTGATTTGGTCTTAATTAACTAATAAATTATTTTCATAGTTGAATTCACAAGTCGATCTATGCCAGATCACCATTGAAAACCTGGAAGAGCTGGACGGCCGTTTCGTCCTAGTATGGGATTCCTCAGCATTGAGCACTCACTGTAAAGTGTGATCGATAAACGAACCTACCAATAATAAAGTGAAGCGCCCACAACTTCATTAACTTTTTTAATCTTGTATGACTATGGATTGTTTCTTCACCAGTCACAATTTTATGTTCATTATAAAACAACATTCGCTCTGTTGACTCATTTTCCCTATCCTCTAGTTACTGTTCGGTACGTTATTTATGTCTCTCCTTTTCCCTGTTTAATAGACTGTATTGTTTATTTTATATACTAACGGTGTTGATTTACGTTTTAGAAACATATAAAGTTTTTCAAGCCGAATAGCTTACTTGTTCTAACTTTGGCTAAACCAAAATTGTGCTCGACAGTCTAGAGAATAGCTTAGAATTACACCTGTAGGAAATTACTTCCTACATCCACCATCCCGCACGTTGGACTCGGACCCAGAATCTTTGGTCTCACGCGTGAGCGCTTAATATCTAGACTAATGGTGTTAAGGTCTAACTTCGATCGATTCACGTTCTTGTGCAACCCTTTATCAATTGTCTGAAGTGGATAACTGTTTTACACCCGACACGGACTGGACTCCAATGGTCCCGGATTCTAACTAGAACTCCAGGAGTTCCATATTGAAGGTAGTCACTAGTGAGCACGTGATTATTATCAGTATGTGGAATTGTGTAGGTTGTTTGAGTCGCGCGTACAGGATTGTGGATGTGCAGTGCTAAGGAGTCCCATACTAGTGCGAAATGGCCGTCCAGTGCTTCCAGGTTTTCAATGGTAATCTAGCTTAGATCGACTTGTGAATTCAACTGTGAAAATACTGTAACCTCCACAAGTTCCCATACTGATAACAATTTATTATTATTAATGGAATTATTTACCACCTACTGAGGAATATACCCTACATCCAAATTAGCATATAATTCACCGATGTAACAAATACATAATAAAATAAATGAATGATTAGTGTACAAAAGTTGTCTGACAAGAATAACTGTGTAAGCTAGTTGATCTTTAAAAGTTTTAGCTCAAAATGTTTCTCCGTCAATAAGAATATGAGATATTCATGTAAAGGAGCAAAACTATAGTGAAACTGTAAATATTGATCATTTTTACATCCAGAAAAAAACGCTTTATTATCTTAATCTATTTACCTATGAACAAATACACGAGCAGCATTAGAACATACTTGTCCTTGAGTATAAAAATTAGCCATCAAAGTGCCTTTAACAGCTTCATCTAAATTAGCATCTGACATAATAATCAATGGGGATTTTCCGCCTAGTTCAAGTGTACTTGGTACAATCCGTTCAGCAGCGCATTGAAGCACAGATCGACCTCCTGCAACACTTCCTGAAAATACGAAAGATAATATATAATATAACGCTCTCAACTGTTTAGAACTGTGAAATAAAATTTAGTGTGTTAGACACTAAGTAAACCAATATTAAGTCAATTAAATCCCGGTTTTTTAGTATATATATATATATATATATATATATATATATATATATATATATATATATATATATATATATATATATATATATATATATGGGATGTTAAACCAACGCATTCAAAACGGTGATTGTCAGAAAATCTGAAGCGAACATTATCCCATAGTAAAGACAATTTATACATTAAAAGTAATCATTACCTCTGAACTAACAGCCGATCAAATAGATTGGTACTTATTACAACAAATAACAGAATCAATTCATACGAAAGATAATTCCGTTTAGCGTAAATGTACCACATTTAACGTTTAAGTAATAAAAGATTAAAATTTTATAAAAACTTATCATTTATCATCTGAAAGTGAAATCAGATATACCACCGTGAATCTTCCAGAAATACAATTTCAACAAATTACTTATTTGATGATGTAATATTTAATGGAAGTAGTTTGAATTGAAGGCAAACACATAACGTTAACTAATTTTAATAAATAGAAAACAAATTTAAGATACATAAATATTCAAACTTTTTCTTATTTTGCGAAAATGATCCTTATGTGAGACTGCAATCATTAGTATAACACTGAAGATTGAATAAGTATAACACTAGTAAAATTTTCTTACAATAAAATAAATTTATGAACATAGTGTATATTTGAATGTCAGAAAAAAAGACATAACTTAACCTGTAAATGATACTTTTCTAACTAAAGCATGATTTACTAATGCTTGACCAATTTCAACACCTCCTAGAACAACCTGGTAAAGATTTTCAGGACATCCAGCAAGTTTATACAATTCGTGTAAACGAACAGCTGTCAATGGAGTTAAAGGAGATGGTTTAAATATAAAGGAATTTCCAGCGGCCAACGCAGGAACGGATTTCCATACAGCCATCTTAAATTCAAATTAAAAAACTAGGTATAAACGTTTCAAATCATCAATATATCCAAATAAATAAATGAATAAATATTAAGGTCGATTTCTCAATAACAGTTCCCAGTAGAAACCAGCTGTGAAAAATAGTTCTACAAACTGGTTAATAATAGGCCATTAGACTAAAACGTTTGAATGATTAATTAAAATCTAATAAACACTAAGAATGATGATACTTTCTAAACATTGGTTATATCCTAAACATTTGTTTCGTGCTCCTTAGATTCATGCTTATAACAAAAACTTGTCTATTTTCCAATAACTGTGTAATTAGATGGTAGAATGATTTGAATATAATGATATGAAAAGAAGTGAGCCGCGGTGAAAATGCACTCCTGGCTAATGACTTGCAATTCATAACGCAGTGAATAACTTTTTTTATTAAAAACGTTTAAAGGAAATTTTGCGAGATTTATTCAAGGTCTTGTTAACAACCATAAATTGAAGTTACCATTTCTGGTACTTATCATCCTCTTTCAATCGATTTCAAAAGCCATAATTACTCACTGCAATTGTGAAAACTGTTAGCAATCTTAACTTTACGCTCTTATTCATAATTGTATCTGGTCACTACTTAATTCAAACAAAAAACTGTGGCGAACCACTGTCCTTTTTAAACTAAGACTGAAAACTTTTGACAAAAATTATCCTCGATTTCGCTTAAACTGAAGTCATTAAATACATGGTGTACATAGATGAGTTTCCTCAGATGAATTTACTTGCTGATAAATCTGTACACAGTATTAAGTGTACAACAGCTAAATATTAGAGTGATATGTATGATCGCGCTTGAAAATTCAGACAAAAATTAAACTATGTGCATACTACATATCACAGATCATGAATGATTATTATCATTATTACTATAGATTTTCTGTATGAGAGAAACAATAAACATTTAAGCATATACAAAATGGTATTCCAGGACCTAGTAAACATGTAGTTGGATTATATAATATTCATTAATAAATATTTTTTCTATGTAAAAACATGCCGAGATTGTTTCCAACGTAAAAATACATTTTTATGATATAAACATTACAAATTAAACTAGTCCATATTGGAAAATGGTAAAATCTACATCGGTTTAACAACTATTGAAAGTTTTGCACAGTTTCAAGTGCATTAATTGTTCAAAAGGTAATTGGAATTGCAATAGCATAGAAGTAAAAGCCTTTATTTAAAATTTTAGAGATAATCATATACGATAATGCTTTGGTAATTGTCAATCAAATTATAAGAAAGACAAACAGTACACACCAAGAAATATCAAATCATAAATAATAGTAATTACTTGAAAAGGAAAATTCCAAGCTCCAATACCGGCACAAAGTCCAAATGGTTCTCTTCTAGTATAATAAAAACTATGAAAAAGGAAAGTAAAACGAAAAATAGAACATCTCACATTTAAATCGTCATAAAAGGAAAGAGAGAGATGATATTAAATTATCGTATTGAAACTTAAACACGTAGAATTGAAGATTTCTAATGAATTCAATGGGAAGTCGGCATTAGTTTAGTCAATCGATCATAAGCAATGTAGAACCTAGCAAATATATGCAGCCTGGAAACTATTGGATAAAACAAAATGTAACAAAAGTGAGATTGTCCGGTGAGACTATAATTTCTGTACGATTTTTGAGTGGCGCCAAAGTGACTTTGAAAATGTTCACCTACAAAATCTATTCAGTAAACTGTAGTTGATTTTTTATACTGAATCAATTAATCCCCATATGTGATTGGAGTTGATTTCGAAATAAATCTGAGTAGTTAATATGGTGTTTTTTGTTGGTCAATTAGTCAAGTAGAAATACTTGGCTAACACGTGATTGCAGAGAATTAATATACACAGTAAATAAATCCTGATGAAATGAAGTAGGTTATCAGTTTAAACAAAGATATATCTAATGTAAAAATCAAGCCATTTATTCCAAAAATGAATCCAGTGTAGAGGTATTTACTATGTCCATAAATACTACGTTTTGACATGATTATTTCTACGGGTCTTTTACCGTTAATTTCTTTTATTAGGTCGGAAATAAACATTTGCAACTTGGGCCATCAAACTCTTGTATAGTCTCCCAAAATCATATTTTTGATCCTCACATCAAACAAAAAGGCTAATAATCTAGAATATAAACAATTTTAAATTACCTGCCAGGATTTGGTGGGACAGGAGAATGGGTTCCAACAAAACTTGGGATAAAACCAGCGAACAGCTCAAATGAATCTGCACAGGCCTCAATGTCTGCACGAGCTTCCCACAGTGGCTTTCCAGTATCTAGTGTCTCTAATTCAGCAAGCCAATTTGTTTCAGCACGAACAAGATCACCAACTTTTCTAAGAATCTGAAATTTCATTAAAGAATGGTAAATAGCATTGCTTAATGGATTGTGAAATAATGAAAAATAATTCAAACAAGCAGTAAGATATATCATAAAACAGAACATATAGTTGGCTAACTTTAGGTTCTAGAGTGGTATGTTAGAAATGTATTAATTCTAGGGAAAGTTTAAAAGGTGATGACAATGATTAGAGTCATTATTTATTACTTTTACATAGATTACTAATAACCTTTGGAGGGCCCTATTAATAAAGTACAGTAGCGAAACTAAACAATAATCATGGAGCTAATAATCAATCTTTTGATATTAAATAATACAGGATAAAATTGTAGCGTATGACGAAACTAGCATGTTAAAATGATCCCAGTAGAGTTGATGATTGTTAGTATTGAAATATTAACAAATGGTCGTTTGATTATTGAATAAGTTCTTTAGGCTACAGGTTTTTATTCTATCTCGTAGCTTTCTTTCACTCCAAACAAGGAGCATTATTTACTGTTCGCGATATATATATACAACGGGATAATTAGATTATGAGTAAGAAATAGGAAATATGCCTGTTTGTGAAAAAGCCATCTTGAATCGCTTTCACCGAAAGATTCATTCACTCAAAGTTCCAAGTACAGTTCCGTGATCCATATTACATTATGAAACAGAACACAATTCGTGTACTATAGCGAAATCTTTTTCTCAGTTCCCATTGTTCAAATCAGAATCCACCGTTATATTCTACCAGTCATTCTTTGTGAAAATACAGGATAAGGGAAAACAGAAATATTTTGTCAGTATGGCATCAAGGAGATTATTGAATTTCACTTAAATCATGAACCGGTTTAAGTTAGACCACTATTGAAAACTCGAAAGCGCTAGTGATTAGATTCGAGAAATTTCTTGAGTTCTAGTGTGAAGCTGTCAGTAGTGGAGCTAAACCCTGTCGGGTGTGAGGCAGTTACTTATCAAAGACAATGGAAGATAGTCGTGAAATGTTGCGTATTGATTGAAGTTAGACACCTCAGTGGATGCTGACGCCGTGGCCTATAAGTTCAGTGTAAGAGCACGAGACTGAGGGGTCTGAGTTTGATTATTCTCATATCACAGCAAAATATTTCGTTTAAACTATAGTTTAGTGAGTAGTGGACTTAGTATTGTTTTGGAAAGAAATTATTACTTGGTCCGTTGAACATGGATAACTTTGGTCTTCGTAGGACCTAACTATAACAATTCTTTGATTTCATTAAAACTAATGAAAAGAATACTTAGCGAAGAAATATGACTCACTTTGGCACGTTCTAGTAATGGTAAATCAATCCATTGTTTTTGTGCTTTACAGGCGTTAATAGCCATTTCATCAAGTTGTGAATATGTTGTTTGTTTGTAATGAACCAAAGGTAGCCAAGTGGACGGATCATAACTAGTATAATCGTAATTGCAACTTGGATCTTTTGTATCTGCTGCAGCAAATTTCAATGGAAGCTGACTATGAATTAACCATTTGTGAAGTTTTTCAATGGCTTGTTTACGACACTCCTGAAATGATTCAGAATTCATTTGAGATTTTTGACATCTGATTACTGATTTTGAAAATTCAGTTGAATTATTGAATCGGATAAAAGAGCTTTGAAACCTTAAAATTTTGCAAATCGATATCTAAAATAGAATCAGATGGAAATCAACGAAAGAAATATTTATATATTTGTTCATACGTAAAGTATGATATTGGATTTAAACTCGTGTACTCGACGTTTGATTACACCTTATACGTGAGATGCGGTGATGCTACCGAGATATTTAAACACGAGTGGAGTATAACTTGAGAGCCAAGATAGAGCTCTTTAACTACTATTCCATCGCTTAAATATGCTACAGTTAATGATGAGTGTATTGAAAATATGGAAATAAAATGTGAAAAATAACATTCTTCAAATCCCACTTGATACTATAACACATTTTTATTTAAGAAAACTCCAAAATGGATGAGAATAAAAATTAGTGATTATGAATTAGGATTGGAGTATAAATAAGGGTAAATCGAATGAATCAACATTTATGGAGGGCCTTGAGGTGACGACGAAATGACCCTGAAAATGTCAACCTATTGACTAGGACTAAATGAGGGTTATAAAAGTGTAAGGAATTAGGATTATGATTTACAGTTGATGGTTAAGGTTAGGAATTAGATTTAGGGTTTTCAGCACGAAATAACATCATCCATACTGCCGAAATAGTATTTAGCCAAATGAGTGGATGAATTTCGAACTAAAATCCAGAACCTGTTATCTTATATCTGATTGGTTCGTCCATAAATTATGGTCTCGACCCCCACAAGCCTCCTGTTACAATAAATTTGATTCATCACGGCTGTACAATTTATTATTATTTAGATCACATATCATTATCATTATAACAAGATAACTAGTTACGGAGATCTTTTTTAAAACAAAGAAATGCCTTTTTTATAGCCAGTATACATGCAAACCGTCAAAGAAAAAAATTGTGGTGGAAACTGCACAGAAAATCGTTTTCTGAAATCGGTATCATAACTTGTATTCCAAAGAAGAATAAAATTCAGACAAACAAGTTGGTGACGTAACCCTAAGTAAAAACTAATGACCACCCTGACATTTATTGTTATACATAACAGTACGATGTGTACAACACTTGTAACTTTGAACTTCAAAACATCATCACATACTTTCATGCAACAATTGGCCAATAGTAAAGACAAATATATAATCAATGAGATGAACTTTGATAGGAATAGATCAAACCAGTTTCAGTTCATGAGGTATGCAATCAAAGAATAAGCAGAAAACAACACCCGTTGTAAAACAAAGGATTAATAAAAACTACCCATTAAAATCTAGTTGCAACAGAAAAAGATTAGAAATTCTCACAAGAAGTATCATTCGGTATGTATAAGAATAAAATAAGTCTTAAAAACAATATTTTTTTATAATGTGAACTAATCAGATTTTTTAATATTAATTCATGACAATTAATTTAGCTCATTCGACTCGTCTCATCTATTGTTACACGAAAACAGCAGTGTATTATAAAGTTAGTGAACTAAGCATTAGAGGTCATTTCGGTAGCATAGCTTTACTATTCATTAGATCAACCTTAGAGCACTATGCTGAGTATATTTATTAATCATGTCATTAATAATGACTGATCTATTGGTAATATTCCTAATTTAGTTTCAATACTTATAATGACCACTTAGCATGAATATGCAACCAAAAATTCCACGTTCTTCAAGCATGATGACCTATAATTACTATCAGTGGTATGTGAAATATTAACATGAAGTTTACACATATAATTTCGTCAGGAGCATATCCATTGTACACGGATGACTGAAGTTACCGAGCACTTTAATGCGATTAGTGTCCAACAATATTGTCATGCATTTTAATAACTATTCTTCTGAAAATTCGTAGATAACTCACAGTAATAAAGGTAACTAAAAGACAAGAGACACACATTTCGATAATAACACTTACAGTACAGTTTAATAAATGCTGAATCTTTTAAAATATCATTAAGTCTTTAGTTGCGGTTAGTCAGAGGGATAAATAGTCGATCTAAAATCCCGGAAAGACCAATGTATTACAATAACTGCACACCACAAACACGGTGTCAAAACACTAGTTCACTCTCGAATCACGGATGACAAAATCGACTGTCCTGAGATTCATACAACAGATTTTGCGCCTACCAGAAGACAGTTAAACAGACCTATGTACTACAGCGAAAGTGAATGCATAAAGTGAAATCCCACCATACCTTTAAATACCTCCAGTGATCATGGAATGCAAACTAAGTCAAACTACTCCTGAATACCTAACACTAGTTAAAAATTCCATCGACCTATTAACCAACAGTTAAATTTATTAATAACTACTTTTTGATTTTTTGGAATTTGAGATCAGTATTCTGAAATTCATTAAATATTTCCGAAAAATTGTACAATCAATTAAGTTTGCAACTGGATTTTAGGTAAATTTACATTCTTGCAGAACTTTATAAGTTTATATTATGAAAGGTGACTGACTCCAAGAATTGACATTTTGTTCTGGTCTGAGATGCCTGTGACTACTTACGCATCTAGATACAGATTCAAAGACTTGGGTACCACTGTAGTTATTAACAGTCTTATGCTTTAGTAAAAGCTATAATTTTAGATGATGAATGCCAGTGTAAGCTGTAGAAGCGAGAATTATTACCATATAGTAAAACTATATATAACATAAAGTTATCTAAAATGTACCCATACATCTTACGATACGTTGGTAGTATACAAATTTAATCTGATATGATATTGTGGTGTGTGCTACTTACGCTGACAGATATAAGTAGTGTGCAGAAGCAATTGAAAGTAGAACGACTACCAGTAAAAGATTCAAATGAAGAGAAGAGGAAGGAAATCGGGATCACAACAGAATTAAAGAAATAATGGTGTGTAAAGGACAGCGCAAGGAAAATGTGCAAATGATGTATTTAATGTATGATTTTTATATTTTGCCAAACCACTGTGTGATTTTGCATCAAACAATAAGTTGGCTTCTCCCATCTGAATTTTCGTTTTCTACAATATGATTTATCCTCAATTCGTCTTTGATTGATTGCGAGCGCTGATTTCAGCTATAACAGTTTTCTAAGACTTTTTCTTTAATTTACACATATATTATTGTTAAAGTGACAATTAAACTTTCCACTAAAAAGGCAATAAAGACGTACTTTTGTTGGAGTAACACTTGATTACTGAAAATGATGTCTTCTGTTTATTCACCTGACAATACAAGTTAGATCGACTGGTAATCACTCAAGGTTGTGCATAGATTAAGACATAATAAAACCTTAAGATAAGTGGGTGGTTAATCTGAGAGAGCTCAGGAGGTTTAAAAACGTGAAATCTATTGAAACAATTTTTTTATCATATGTTGCGTTACTTCGTAACTTCAAATAAGTAGAATATTTGCATTTTAGAAGGAGATAAATGGACGTATAACAATCAGATTTATGTGAATTTAGAAATAAACCATAGCAATTTGCTTTATTCACCCAACACAATAATAATTTCTTACTCTAGTCACTACCAGTATAAAAATTAGTTGCTGGTTTTAGATGGTATAAAGGGTGGCCTGCTTGAGCATCTGGGCTACCTGTTCCTGTCATCTAGATATTTCAACAAGTTATCTATTTTTGTTTGTTTTAATATATTATTATGTCTTTTAATCGCATAACCTATTCTGCTGCGTTTCTGAAAAGTGTACAACCTTTCGTTGTCAAAGTTACAAAAAAACTCAATAAGAGACAATGTGGTTGCTGGCAAGATACAACGAAAAGAATGCACATTATTCAGATGTTCATTTACTGAATCGCTAACATCTAACTGGCGACCACTCAATATTTATCGCCAAGACCAACCAAGAAGAAAAAACGGAAACTTGTTGAAATACTTTGCGCTGAGAATTCTATATTGTACCAAAAATATAATATTGAATAAAGCTGATAATAGTAATAATAATAACAGAGCAGACCAAAATTTGTACAAAACCTTTCACCATGAAGCGAAAGTACTATAAAAAATATGGCTTAATAAAATGGCATTTATCTTTTTTAAAATATTTGCCTATCAAAGTCTGAGAGCGGTGTTTAGCCGTTTTGTTGTATTCTCAGAATTCCTGTGGGTACTTGCTTTTATAACATTTTTCAACGAAGAAAAGGCGAAAAACACTACATCGGACAAAGCGGACGCCCCCTTCACCTTCGCCTACATGAACATCAATTAGCAGTCAAACGCCATGATACTTCCTCACTTATATCAATACCTGTGGAGAACTGCGGACACTCATTTGATTGGAAAAATGTGGAAGTCCCAGACAGAGGAAATTCCAGAAACACCGGGGAACTTTTAGGAGCCTGGCACTCAGGTCAATCAGCAATCAACAAACACACTGAAACCGACCCAATTTATCAACCAATCAGGAAAATTATGCACAAATATAGGGATGAAAATCAAACCAATGGGAGACACAAGCAAAACAAAGAAGTAAACGATGACAAATTTAAGGTTAGTAAGAACCAATCAACATCGAGGTGTACAGAACAAACTGTGAAACGCATATGGAGAAATTCGAACACCTCACTTCTATCTGAAGTTTGTGCTGATGATGTCGTTCGGAAGAACGATGAAAGCTCCACGACCAAACCATCCAGCTCAGAGAACAAAACCATCAAAAAGACAAGTGAGTGTCTGTTTTAGATGGCCGAAAGGCTGATATTTTTAACCCCATTCAAGTTTTGGTTTAATTTGGACTATCGCTTGGCTTACTGCAGATATTACAGGATCATATTGAGGCTTTTGACCGGTCGGTCATTAATGAGCATTAGGTTGCAAACATAAATAGAATCAAGTTAACGCTAACAACCACACAGCAGAGACACGCATTCCTGGAATTGCATGGAAAACATAGAAAGTAGGTAACTAAAATTAATACCGACTGGAAATTCGCAAGAATTTCTTGGATTACTTAAACTGCATGTGAAAAGAATTTATTTAGTCAATAAAAAAAATTAATGTCAATTTTTATTTAGCTGAATAAACGAATACAATGAGAACAAATATGTCGCATCAAAATACTTTATTTTTTTTTACTAAATATCAGAAAGCTGAAACTGTACAAAAGATTTAAAGGATTATTTCACTGATATTTACAATATCCAATTTAAAAGAGGACAGAGATTACTGTTATTTAGTCTTTTAAATATACAGACAAAAGGTTAATAATTTTCAACTCAGTTAATATTCTAAGGATACAATTAGTCTACCATTCAGCAGCTAAACGGCTAAGTTCCAGAGGATTGTAATCAGACAAAAATATTAATTCAGCTTGTCCGTTTGGTGTAAAAGCGGCGGGATTTGTAAGCCAATTATTCTCTGCATAAAATCTTAATAAGGCATTAATTTCTGTTGGGGTGTAATTTTCAACGTGAACAGGAATGAATGGATCCATATATTCGAAACCGGATTTCCCCAATAGATAACTGGATATTATTTTATTTAAGAAAAAGATAAAAAACATCATTAAAATATTTTGTAAGGCATATTACTATAATACTTTTAATAGTTCTGCGTATAATTGACACATGAAAAATTAAAGTAAAAATACCAACGTACTATCTTTATTCTCAATATCTTATCTAATTGCATTAATAATTCAATAAAAAGTGCTTCTGTCTTCTTATAATTGTTAGTAGTTTTAAAATGACCCCATTTTATATCAACACAAAGAACAAACAGAGGGGATCTCTGAACTTATGTATCATTCCTCATTCTTTTTAAAATATTGACAAGCAAAAGCTGACAAGACAATAGTTAGAAAATCATGAACAATTGAAAAGTATTTTTATCTTAGATATACGAAATCTTACTGTTGTACTTTAATGTGTCCCAGTGTTTAACAAGGGTGGGTTATATCACAGTGAATATAGCTAAACGTCGGAGGTAAACAGAGCAGCCAATACGAGTATGCTAATAACAAAATGGAAAAAGAATGTTAACATACAACACTTCGTAAAATCCGCTTTATTGGTATCACTCCAGTTATCAACTATTCACAACTCTCTATACAAATATAAATTTAAATGAATTGCTTTTAAAGATAATTTCCCATATAATTTTGTATTCAAATCTAAAGGTTGTCTATTCTATATCGGCCAAGTATATGTGTTTCAAAACGTGAGAGATGAAGGAATGACTGAAACACATTTATTCGAACATCTCAAGAACTAGTGATCATTAAGTGTTTGTTATTTTTGAATTCTAGTTCAGCAGTGAATTACTACCAAACTTAGAACTATAATATTAAGATTGATTCTCCTAACCTTCTTGATACATTAAAGTGACTAAGAACCGAGCTGTTTGTAGATGGAGTCTTTATTTTCTTACTCAATTAAGTAATTCCACTTATTAAACTAGTAATTCGAAGCCACTATTCCTACAAAGTTAGGAAATAAACCACTAAGTCCAACTTCTTTCAATATTTTCAGGTTTGTAATAGAATCCGGGGTTGAATAAAAGACATCAGTATTTGAATGCTGAGGAATTCAATGAGTAAAATAAACTGACAAATTTCACTCATGGTTTTATCATATGTGAGTTCTTGAGAATCATGCAAACTAACTGACAATTTACTTGCTGTACAGTACTAGTTTGGCCATGTTGATAGTATTGCTTCAATCTGTATATGCATTGAGATGATAACGAATTGTAGCTGAAGAGGACGTTTCTTGTTGAGCTAGTAATACGGTCGAATTTTTTGTATGATGGGTACAAACCCTAACACATTGGCTGTTTTGTGACCTTCATAATTATTCTCGAAAGTTATTTTTTATAGGATAAGTAATTTATAATTATGATAAAATACATTGGTATTTGGTAATATAAATCTTCATTCTAACACAATACTTCCTATGATTTGATAATTATTTCAATGTTTAAGATCATGAGTCAGTTGAAGCTAGACCACAATGGAAAACCTGGAAGCACTGGACGGCCGTTTCGTCCTATTTTGAGACTCCTCAGAAGTTTAACCTTGACCGAAATGACATGACAATGATTTGTTCAGACCTGTATTTTGATTGATTACATAATATTCTTGTTGTTCCGTTGTATTATTTAAACTTGGATTAATTTTAATTTAGTTATTTATTCTCTGAAGAAGCGGCTTACACTAAGTCATGAAACGTCAGAAAACCTAATCTTTCTACTCATTGGGGTATTACAAATATATTAAGTATTTGCAAGTTTATGAACCAAAATTTCTATGAATCCCTATGATGCGTCTAGCTAGATTTGTTATTGATACAACTTATATATTAGAGATAATAACCTAAAATCGATCAAGCGACATTTTCTATTCAATGTTTAGTTCATGTTTCATTTCCAGTCAATATTCCAACTATCTGTTTAAATTTTAGTTTTTCATGTCTGAGCTCCAATAACGAGTCCAAGTGTAGACTGCTACCTCAGATCACTTAACAACGAAAATCGGATATGATGATAATAATAACGGATATAATTTAAAACCCCAAGCATTGATTCAGATTAATCTAATCAATGCCTTTATAAATTCTAAACATATTTTTTTACGCCTATTTGGTATCCATTTCATTTTCTCCTTAATTTACTACAATAATACTTAATTACTTTTATTGTTATTTTCTTTTTGTAGTGTTTTAAAGTAATACAATTTCAACCGATTTACATTTGAAATAAAACAGATGATTAATAATTATCCCAAATGCTGATCAAAAAAATTTGTCTGGTTAAGATTGACACGTTTCTCATCAACAACTTTCTAACTAAATAATAATGTGATGGACAAAATAATTCACCAAGTAATATTTGACTTAAATAAACACAGGTCTTGTTAAGGCCTAATAAAAGATAAGTTCTCGGTCTAATGTGCAGTAGTACTGAATCAATGCTTTCTATATCTCGTCAATCAACCGTATATATGTATGATAAACATTTAAACACCAATCTCAACATCTGCGATATGAATCTTGTATTTCAAACAAACTGGGTTTACATACGAACCAAATAGATCACATCGTACCATAAAATAGGAAACAATATTTGTACAAGATTTAGCCAAATGTGGCCGTGAATAAGAGAGATAGTAATTGATAGACTGGGCATAACTCAAGAATGGTAAATCGTATAACAGTAGTTCATAGGTCAAAATAAAGCTTATGATAAGAGGAACACGAATATGAATAGTTTAGTTCTTTATCGATTATACAATAAGAATATACGTATAGTATTAGTCTATAAACGGATCCGAAAAGTTATTATTCATTATTCTCATCGGATATAACGAAAATATATCACGAAAAACACATCTGAAGTCTGTTCTCGTGAAGACATCAGAAACTATAATATTTGATTTTAATGTATTATCAACTGGGTGTAAAAACTGGTCATTAATGTAAGATTGTAGAAAATAAATGAAGTCGCTAAAAAAGTTTATGGTTCAAAAAGTGTCTAACAGATACGAAAAGATTCGGTTTCACTTGCATATTTTAATTAAAATAAAGATAACTGCTAATACAATGGTCACTAAAACAAGGCAAGACTTACTAGGAATTAGTAATCATTCATTCGTATAACTAACACCCCAAATAGTTATAAATGTAGAGGAACAAACTCTTATATACTTGGTATTATCAAAATGATTAGAAATTCAAACAAAGAAATGGGTAAACAGGAAATCATTGCCTCTCTATGTTCGTATCTTCATACACTGAAAGATGTGACGTTGCTGTCAGTCGTGTGAAGCAGTGTAAATGGTATTATCAAACATATATTCCACTGTGAATTTTCCTAGGCAGTAGATCAAGTTTAGTTATAAACCAATTCAATTTATTATATACTGAGACTTGAGGTTACTACTTTATAGTTTCTATTCTAATACCGGCTAACTGAATTGACCTACTGAAGAGGCAGTTCACTGGTTCGACTTTTAAATACTTTGTTGGGGGTTCGAACTCCACTACACCTACTTATTTTTGGATAGCTCGGTAGTATTGTAGTGAACGAGAACACAATTGGGGACAATTGAATGTATTTGAGTACAAAATTACAGAACGTCTTAGTAAAATCTGAGAACCATATAGTAAATACTTCATTTGCAAAATGTCAACCAATCGTCTAACACTTGAATGTTCTTTCGTTGCCGCACCAATCATTCTATCTTCTCGTTCTCTTTTCTTCGATCTTCTTAAGCCTCTGCCGCCAGACATTTCACTTTCGATTCATGATACACACTACTTATATCTGTCGACATTAGCAACGCACACCACAATATCACTAACCCTCACGATTAGAATACGGTTCATAGCCAAGTGGATGAGTCTGTATTTTGTAAATTAATTGGTAGTAATAATACAGAAATAAGGTTGGTCATTGTGCATTTCAGGGAAAAATTTTTTATTGAGACTTGAAAACGATTTTTACGGTGATAATATTCTAGGAAACTTAACTGAAAAAATTATATGAGTAATCCTCCAAATATAAATCATACAAGGATAAAATCAGAGATCACAGCTAGACAAAAAGTAATCTACGCTTATTTACTTACCCAGGAGTATATTGTTCCCTATCTGTAGGCCAAGCCGCCCGAATATTTGTAGAGGTAACTATGACACCATGACGCCAGTCTCCCCTTAGTGCACGTTTCAAATGATGTACAATTGCCAATCGATCAGTAGTAACATTAACCGAAAGAGTTTTATCCTTTAATAAAGTACCGCGACACCACAGGAAATTTACACCATCGATGACCAATAAACAAGGAGGGCCATCAGGAGTAGATGATAGTAGACGCATCTAAAAATATATGGTCCGGATGTTTACTAAGATAATTGTACCAATAAAACCTCAAAATAAGTTCATGTAACATAAAAAAAGCGTAATGATATGGTTCAAGAATATTTTGAGTCACTTGCATTTAGCGTCAGGTTTATGAAGACAAGAATGTATATTTGTAAAGTTTGCCAAAACTCAATGGCTGGTCTCGAAGTTGAAGGCATTAACAACCAACCACAAATTATGAAGTGATTTATAACACCTAGGAAAAGACGTCTTACTGGGTGGTTTGTAGCAAACAAACTCTTTGAAAATGGCTTGAGTTCGAAAAAACCAAGATTTACACATAACCGCTAAACTTTTTGACAAACTAACTACACCAAAACAACGAAAAACCTGATGCGAATATGTACCGGTTCAATTTACTAAACTTTACACAAGTGCAGTGAGAAAACGATAAGAAGCAGAGTAAAAAAAGAGAAAATACTAATAGCGAATTTATGAAATATTGTCATAATTTGAATAAAGAAAGGACAAATATCGTAGCAGAATGACATAAATATTTTTTACTCAGCTGCCTACAAGCTATAATGTTAATCATTAAACCGAAAGGAGAGTACATAATTTACGTCGCGAACGTCTTGAATAAATTGAGTTAACATGTCGAGGAAGAATAATAGTATGAGACAGTAATATGGAAGAATTAACATCACTCGCACGTTGGCTTAATTATGGGTTAAACATATGAATATTCAAAAAATTGTGGGGACGGAATTTTCTCGAAATCGAGGATAGATTATGTAATACTTAATTAAAAAAGATACAGAGTAGTTGAGTAAACCACTGAAGTAAGAATTAAGATATAATAAATTAACATCAAAGTTATGGAAAAATCTTGCGTTATAATCTCATGAAAACGAGGTCACCGGGGCAAAACAGGATATATTTTTTGGATGCACATTTTCGACGTATATCTTTTTATTACAACAGCTTCGGTAAACAGTCACGAATTTGAATCCCTTCTCTTATTGATTATTTTGAAAAATTTCTAAACAACACCATGTCCACTGTCGAGCAATCGCACTGTTGAGAACCTTTTCATTTAGTCTGTTTCGAAACTGTACCTATACTATATGGTTTATTTGAAGTGTCATTTTCAACCATCTATGGAAATCTATTAGATAGTTACAATATATGTTCTACTTCCATGGTTTAATGTTAATTATGTAGAGAAAAACAACTAAATAAACTACCTCTCTTAATAAAATTCCAATACAATCCGTTGCGTATTTGGTCCTGGCGATGCCAAAATTTATTAAATCTACCCAGGATGTTCCTTCGGGCATTATGTCTTTTTTGGTCCATTCTACTTGTCGAGATACAACTGGTTTTAACTAAATGAAAAAGATAACTTTTGACAGTGATAATCATTGAAAAAATTATGTGAATATTCTTTAGAGGTTTATCTGTAGGACTATTTAAAGAATTGAAACGTATTTTTAGCTAAAAATATGATTATTAAAGGTTCACAACAAATTCAAACTGGTGCGAAATTAAAACCAGGCCACGAAATATGTAGTACTGATGTCAACTAATATCACTCGATGAACATGACTAAGTAACAAATTTTGATATGTATTATATGAGTGATAAGTGGCGAAAACGCAAACCTGCTAGAATCGAACTAGTGATGTGAATGGATCGTCAGTTTGGTATTTAATACTCTGAACTAATCGTCTAAGTTCTAAATTTGCCATGGTTTCACTTTAATCGTGAGGTTTTGTGACTTGCTAGCTAAGTTTGTTCTAAAATTTAATTGCATGGATCCTTTGTATGATTTTATTCTAATCGCAGTTTAGATAAAATGAAGCTGAGTTTAATGTAATGAAGTACAAAAGGTTTACTAACCTTTATTGTTACGTACACCAAGACTGATAATTAGTATATAGCTTAATATTAAGGCCATGTTGGCAGACGAACTTCACAGCATGAGTAGTTATTGGTCACTTGAAACAATGAACTTATCAAGAACAGGTTTTTAAGTAGGTGATCAAAAGATGGAAAAATTATATGAAATTGTATTTCAATGTAATTTAAACAAAACTTGGTTCTTAAGGTATCAAGACGTAAATTACTTGTCTTTATTGGTTAAAATGTCATAAAATTGGGGCATTCTATCACATTTGACCTGACATAAATGCTCACTGGATCAAACTGACATAACACATAAGCAAGAAGAAAGGAAAGTAACAAAATGTAAAGCAAACAAATGAAAGTAATGGTAATATTTACAATAGTAAAGAAAACCAAACATATCAAATATGGTTTGAGAATAAGATTGAGTAAAAAGTGTCAGTCAGCTACAACGTAGGACCAGGCACATTTATGCATCGGTCCAAGTTGCCATACCTCATTAACACAACAAGATGGACACCGCATTCGTAAAAGTAGTTAATTCAGAGGTGGTAATATATAAAAGAAAGATTGCACGTAAGGACATAGTACAGGAAGAAAGAATTAGTTCATAGAAAGAAAGATATGAAGCAATTTTAATCTCATAGTTTAAGGGAAGATAGAGAGTGTATACACCAACGCCATTGTGGTAGATTCTGAGCCATGTCACCAAGAGTCTCCAACCATTGGTTACGATAGTCACGCGGACCCCAACCAACTAGTCTGCATCTACCAACATGCCTCAGACCGGAAGTTAGTAACTTCACTGACTGATGCCACGTTTCAGTTTGGCCGCCCCTAACTTTATTCCAACCATCCCCAACGCCGGTTAGGATTGCACTTCGTGGTAATCGGTGTTCAGGTATACGTACCACGTGGCCCAACCATCTCAGTCGATGAAGATTCACAACCTCATCAACTGATTTACCATCATTCCCTAATACCCCGCGTCTAACCTCACTATTACTTACCCGGTGAAACCAGCAGATACGAGAAATATTTCTAAGGCATCTATGGTCAGATACTAGTGGCTTACGAGTATCTTCTACTCTTAATGGCCACGTTTCGCAGCCGTAAGGTAGAACATAATGACCTGCTGAGCAGTATACTAGTCCATTACTTAATTGATAGACAGATATCTCGCTTTCGTCATAGGTGACGTAAGTTGGCAAAAGCCAAACGACATTAGGGCTGATCAGACTTCCAACATAAGTGAAGTTGTCAGCGCGTTCGACTACTTCACTCCCTATCCTTAGTTCATGTGTTGACGCAGACCAGTCCTGAAGCGACAACTTGCATTTAGAGGGAGAGAAGCGCATTCCAAACATCCTGGCATTGTTGCTTAGTGCTACAAAAGACTCTGCATTCTATCAGCGTCTTCACCAAACAGGACTATATCATCCGCGTATTCTAAGTCGATAAGTGGACCTCCTGGAAGGAGATCAATACCCGAGAATTCAGTCGACGAGAATTTTATTTCCATCAGTAGGTCTATGATGAAGTTAAATAAAAATGGAGAAAGTGGATAGCCTTGACGGACACACTTGAGGTTACAAAAGCAGATGACAGTTCGCCATAAGCTCTCACTTGACTAGCAGTGTTCGAGTAAAGAGCCTTCACAAGGTTTATGTACTTCTGAGGTACGCCTTTCAATGACAGATACTGCCGATAAGTATGCCTGTGTTCTAGAAACTGACGAATGGTGAATATGTGGTCGATGCAGCCACGACCACGTCTGAAGCCAGCTTCATTCCCTCGTGTTCGCAGTTCACGAGTCTTAGTTAGGCGTCTGATAATTATCGAGGCTAGTATTTTAGATAATATATTAGTTAAACTAATCCCTCTATGGTTGTCACAGGATGATTTTAACCCTCTCTTATATATTGGGACGATCAGTGATTGTGACCACTCAGATGGGATTACATTCAATTCCCAGATTTGAGCTAAAACATTAGTCAACCTGATCGCTAAAATTTGACCACCATACATCAAGACATCTGGAGCCAATCCATCACTACCAGTTGCTCTTCCTCGTTTCAGATTAACTATAGCCTTCTGGACTTCTGCTAGAATTGGGGGACCTACTTCAATGTTCCATTCACACTGTCTGGGAATGGAGGGTAGTTGTAGAGTAGCTGGAGGCCAGCTGAACTGTTCTCTGAAATGTTCCGCCCATCGTTCTAAACGTCTGGACTGAGCGCAGATGAGAGGTTGAAAGCGAAACCCGAGGAGATAATAAACGAGTCGAATATACAGTTCTAGATACCTAAATATTCCAGAGTAAAAGTTAACGGAAAGACTTAAGTCACCAAAACTTGAAAGTCATGAGGAAATAGGTAAAATAATTAATAAAATGATCCAAAAGTGTTGCAAGACGGAAGATTAATAGGCTTATGAGGTCGATTTTAGTTCATTCTGTTTGAGATCTCCGACTATGGGCTCCCAGTAATTATTGAGCTCAATATTCAAGTGTCATAACTACAGTTTAAAGCAGTAGTCGTTAACTTCAACCACTAGTAATTTATTTTGGTTTTTTGTTTAAATTCCCTTACTTTATATTCATTGCAGAAAACATCGCAATCGAAGCAGATAGTGGTTCGAAATTAGAAATATTCCCCACCTGCTTCCGCAAGTTACCTACCAAATATCATATTAGTCATATGAATGTACTAGTAAACACTTTATTGACAATAACAGGTTTTATGGTTTCGAAAACAGGAAAAATAAGTTGAAAATAACTGAATTATTTATTACAGTGATAGAATTGTAGTACATTGGTTTGAGCACTTCTAGTTAACAAACTATGTATTCTAACCTTGCTTCGATAAGCTAGGTCTAAGTGGATACACAGTACTATCAATTAACAAACGTGTCAAGTGGTAAATGAATAGCTAGTTCTTGATTTTCAATCACCGGATTGTAAATTCAGATCCTCTTTTCGTCCTGACACTCAGGTAATATTACTCGCCCTCATACCAAAAAAACTATTTAATTAGTTACTGAGTTGCATTCATGTAATGTGAAACTTGTAGAGAGATAGACTTGTGTATGTTGGACTATATTTTTGTGTTTATCACCATATACGGTTTGAAACCATAGGAACACATCAACTTACAAGTTCGATTATGATGGGTTATTCAGACCACTTTTTATAAGTATTTATCACATCCTGTGATACTAACTATTTACGACGAGGGATGTGATTTAGATATGTTTTCGTGGGAAAAAATCAGTACAAACGAGTCTATTTTGGATAAACACGGATGTACGCGAAAACAAGTCATAGTAAATAAACGTAATCACACGCTGGTTATGAAACACAGTGTACGAGAAATAATCTCAAAGTAAGTAAATTAATAGTACAGTAATATATTCAGCCATTTTGGTTACCTTGACGTGGTGGTCAGGCTTGCCTATCGTGATGAACAAGTCGTGCTATACTGGCTGGAACAATCGTTCCTCAAGGTCCTACCATGCCAGAGAGGTCGGTTGAAGAGCAATAAAATTAAAAGCAGCAAACCCAAGGTCCGAGGGTGAAGTCGTACCGCTGGCTGTGCAGAGATGTGACGGTAGTAAGATGCTTTCTTTAGGACCTAAAAATGCACAACTCGCCTTATCCCACGGATATCCGTCTCCGGAGGTAGGTCTCGACAAGTACGGAGCTAACACGAAAACTACCCGTAAAAAGGTAGTGTGACCGACCTTAAGTAGTTGTCCCTTGGGCACTACGGTCACGCTCTCAGGTCACTAGGACCACCTCTAAACCAATTTCCTTCTCAGGTACCACCAGAAGAACCCTCCCATGGTATGAGCAACCAGGAAGTGAAAACCGCTTTCATCTCTAACAGCACTCAAGATTTTGGTAAAATACCTACAAAAATGGACGATCATAAATCATTGTTATAGAGCAGCCACTCGCCTTTAAAAACCGAAATCAGTAGTTCTGTTTGTCCCGTACTGGAGACTGTCCGCAAATCTTAGGTGCATCTATGTTAATTTGTCACCAATTACTGATGAACCAAAAACTCATGGTATCAAGATCCTAATACTGCCATGGAATTTTCAGAAAACACTTTTAAAATGAAAGCACAAACAATAGTACTTTGAAAACCGAGGAAATCAGGGAGATAGAATAATAAAATGACAGATACCTTTTCAAACAATGGTCGGTTAAGTTGTAAAAAGACTTTAAGCCATTCAGCAGAACGAGCTGGGAAATCAAAAGCATCACCCACAAAATTCTCACGATGTTGGTTATAGTGATACTCATTGCTAGGAGCAATGTCATTTGATGGTTCCAGAAAATTTTCACAACTCGTGAACGGAAATATAAGCCATTTTTCTCTACCGGCGAAACACATAATTTGTCCCAAAATGACTGAAACACCAGTCCCCGGTTGGCCATAAAGTACAAAGCGTGGAACACAGTATTTAGCTAGTGCGACGGATTTAGAGGAGTCAGGTTCCTTTTTGAAACTTTCTTTCTGTAAATCTCGAATGTTAATTACGTCCTTAATCATGTTAATTGTTGGTTTCCGAATCAAAAGTGACAGGTCACCAAAGGTTTTAAGTTCTTCTACTAACTCGACTTTGAGAAATGGTTCTATGAAAAGGGAAAACTCATTTTCAGAATAGGTTATAAATTTGCCAATAACTGATGACATTTGAGACACTTGTTCAAAATGGGAATAAATCTGAGTCCTTGGAGCAGGTAGATATGTATTGCTGACGGAAGAGCATCTACGAAAATTGCTGCACAAAGAGCGGGTAAATAGTGTAAGATATGACCCTGTCCTCGGAATTATAATAGCCATCTATGGAAAAGTGAAAGAAAAAACGGGAAATTTATCATAAAACAACACAACGATTAAAAATTAAGAGTATACTACCTTAAAACAATTGGGAAACAACCGAAAACATGTTCACATCACTATTATTAATAGCATAAGTGTTATGCTGGCAAGTTATCTGCTAAAACAAACAGAAGCGGTTGACTGACATATATCACCAACTAGTTTGCAGAAAACATTCAACACATCACTGACATATTACAAGTCATTTGTCACCTTCAATAATTAACTTAAGTAGATACCATTTTTCGGCCGACTGCAATAGTTAAGTGCTCCGATCACTTTAGTTGTCTTGGAAACCCTATCACTGATAACTAGCAAAACCACGATTCGAATAGAAAAACCCACTTAGTTTTTAACAACCCGAGTTATCATTAGTGAAAATGAGATACCTATCAAACAAAGAGGTGAGTACAGTCCACTCTGCTACAACTTACAGCTGTGAAATATTGCACATAAAAGATGAAAACGTGAGTCTTCAAGAATTGATACAGTGGAGCGCAACTAACGAATGAGTTAAGGGTAGGTTGCTCGATAAAACCCAAGTCAACTGATGAGATTATAAATCACCATGGTCTACGGTAGTTGGGAGATGTGTGGTTAGACAAAGACCACCTAACTCGATATCCAATGCGACGATATACTAGAGAAAATTTGACGTCAAACAAAGATAAATGGATGTTGCCATATAGAAACTTCGTATGACTATAATCAATGGTTGCATACATTGAATGACGTGATGAAAGATTAGGTTGATGTAGTTGCAATCAGCTAACTTGACATTTCCTCATATCTTTGATGAACGACTGGTTGCAGATGATGAATTCGCCCGTTTTCAGGTGTTACTGTTGACAAAATGTCGTATTAGACAATAGTCAAACATGTTAAGCTTATAGCAACACCGTTTGTATAGCTTACAGCCACGGTAAGCAAAGGGATATAGAGGAGTTGGAGGGAGAAAAAAGTGCTCTGATCAGGTTACATCCCCCCAAACTACATTTAAAGAAGCTAAGACCACATTCATGTCTGACAAGACTTGAAAGCCTGAGAGTAACTTATTAATCTTAAAGGCTTAATGCTACAACACCGTAAATACTGTAATCTACAAAAAAACATGTCAGACAAGTGTGAATTAACAGCTTCTCAATGTTTTCGCAAACCGACTTTTAAAAAATCACTGCGTACCATTAGTAGGAAAGGTAGAAGCGGACATACGCGCTAACATATTTGATCGACAGATAAGCAACTTACAGTGACACACTATAGCTCCGGGCTTGAAGAATGCGCTTCCTGTTAAACTGTGAGAGGTCAGTAACTTGTACTGTAATGATTGCATCAGAGAATTTAAAAGTTGTCAGAAGTGATAAAGCCTTCGTTTTCACAGATTATTTCTGATGAGTTGATTTTTTGAGTGAAAATACTTACAAATTACTATGAGTAAAAAACAACGCACTCAATTTAAGAAAGCAGAAAGTATTTTTCCACTGTGGGTTGATGGTAACATTTTAATAATTTATTATGCATTAAAACTACTGTTTTGATTTCAACCAAATTTATTTTGGCAAAAGTAACGCCAAGATTACCGTCTTTTTTCGAAAGTAATTTATCATCTGTACTTTTTGAGTACAATTGTTTTTCGTGTTGCACTTTTAAACCTGACAGTTCACTTTTTTCATTTTTTTTCTGATTGTCAGTTTTTATCTTTGTATTTTGTCTGTTTCTGAATTATTTAAAAACCTTGTTGACTGGGTAGTTCGGAAAAGGCAACTACCAACGCTCGAATTCCTGATACCCTACTAAAAATGGCATGCAATGCTATAAGTGTAAAGGATTTTAGCACGGCATTTTCACGGATGCAACACTCGCTGTTTTTGGAATGGTGAATAAAAGTGATTTTATATGGCTGAGTCAGCAATGTTGTTCGAATGCTGAATGAGTTCTATCCGAAACCATTGAAATGGTGAACGCTGCTAAAAGGAGCACCAGAAAGAGTACTTGAGATGCATCAAATGGTATTCGCTCTAACGAGTTCAAAGTTAATGGTCCTATGTGGTTCAAAGGAGGAATGAGGGATCTCATTCAGTTCTGTTTGAAGTAAAAGCGTAAGAAAGGATGAAACGTCCAGAAAACCTAATCATAAAGCTAGATCCGTTTCTAGCAAGAAAAATAAACGACCCGAACACCCAGGGTATTAACAGCTTCTCGTCAATGTGATTGTTACCTTAACGAAGGCTGATGAATGGGTACAAATCAAGGATAAGAAACTATCTAATGTCCTTCAAGAAAAGCAGATCTTCAAAACGCCGGCTGAGAAATCGAGGGCTGATCATATTTACAACTCTGTTGCCTTTCATAGGGTCAAGAAGAGTGAAAGTTCAGAGCTCGTAACTCGCTTTAAGAATGATATTAGTGTGTAGAGTTCAACATCTCAAGATATGTCAGAAATCGCGGTGCTGAAGGCTTAAAGATTAGGTAGCCAGACGGACAATATTATCGCGTTTACTATTATCGACAACACATTCCATGAAAGTGGAACGTGCGAATCGGCTAGATACCGCTTAAAATGCAGAGGGGAAGAGCTGCTGATTGGTTTAGTTTACCCCAGTTTGAACTGTGAGGTGGCTTAGAACTTGCCAGGCAGTCTTACCATTTGGTCATTAAGTAGTCCGTGTTTAATCTAAAGAAACTTTTATGAACGTACAATAGACTGGAAAAATCTGAGGAATGAATTGTGAAAAAAGTCTTTTGAATGGAAATCAGTTGAGGTCGCTATCATATGTACCTTAGTGTAACACGTTAAAGAAGAATCATTGCATGACGCGGACTCCGATTCATACTTACTATATCTGAAATCGACTCATTATGAGGGTGACGTTACAAACCTCCTTTATATGTCACCTCTAGGTGAAGGTGAACGTACAGTTTCAGTCTCCGATTTCCATATAGCTATCAATAACGAAGTTGTGACAGCTCGAATGTCTGGGAAGCAAATATACAAGATATTATATACTAATTATCCTCCATTGACTAGACAATAAAACCAGAATCCCCCACTAAGCTGGCTCGAGGCGTATTCAGAAATTTGTTCATAAAGGTCACTGCGCCTCATTTCCTTCGAGCTACATCAAAGGGTTCGGGAAACTCCCACCGTAGTTGAGTAAAGAGGTTCGCACCTTTCTTCTTAGAAGGAGAAGAATGTTGGAAAGATTTAAGTCACTGGGTACTGACGAGTTTAGGAAACCTCGAAATATGCTGTAGAGATGCATTCCTTTTATTTCATACGAACCTCGCACAAACATTCTGGTCTTTGTGACCATTAAGGAACACGAAGTCTTTGGTCCTCTAAATAAGCTTGATGTGGGAAAATCTATGAGAGCCAATGAAATACATTTTGCGTTACTAGAGGAATAAGCGTATTTTGTCGCCAATCCCTTGGACATATATTTTAATTTATATGCAACCCAAGGTAGATTACCAAAAGACTAGAAGAGCACAAAAGTAAGCCCCATTTTCGAAGCATGTACCAGACGCAAATATGAGAACTAACGATGTGCAAGCATAACCAGATTGTTTGTTGAAATTTAGGCAACATTATTCGTAAGAAGTTGTATGATTATCTAGAAGAAAACCAGATCTTTTCTGAAACTCATGGTCATAGAATAGGTCATCCATGTCTCATAAAGTATGAATACTTGCACAATGAATAACATTGAGCTAGCTGATATTCAGACAAAAAGCAACCTAAGAGCCACTATTAATAAATGACTGAAATTACGGTTCATTACGATGCAATAGCTGTCAAAGTCTTGAGATCATTTTTAACGATACGAAGATCCATTATCCATGTAGATTCTAGAAACTCTTAAGCTCTATACGAAGAGCTCAAATATTTTAAACTTGGTTATTGCAAATAAGCAGCCACCCTTTGCATAGAGAGTTTCTTATAAGATGTCTTTTGTGTTCCAATCTGCGCCTTTACCTCTATTAAAGATAAGACGGTGATGAGTTACAAGATTTTTGGCTCTGATACTAATATAAAAGATTCTCGTAATTGAACTCAAACTAGTTACTTGAATGAAACGACAAAGTGTAAGAAGCAAGTTTTATCGGATGATCATATGATGGCAAGTGGCAATTATTTGTTAGCATATTCTTTCTTTTAGATAAATGAATGTTTTAAGGAATCCTTAACCTGAAAATGATTTGGTACAGCTGTATAAAATGAAAATGATACCAAGTCTTGTCAAGTTATATCTGCAGGAGACAGACAAATTATTATCGAACGAAGGAGATGCCATATTCGACCACAGACAAGGGTAGACAAATGCGAGACGCCTAAGTTGATTAGTTAGAGGACGAAATTGTTGTCTTGGATGAAGCACACCTTAATAAAGTCCGAAAACTTGCTAAAACCTCTTTAACCAGTTACGTCCGATAAAATTAATCAGATCAGTTTTAATAATGAGTACCTCATATACCATACATTATGGGAATTACTTGTCAATGTAGATGTTTTAATAATCTCATTAGTTAGTGTTATTTTTTCATCTAAAAAAGACTAGCCTAGTCAACTCAATCTGTAGCACTTCCAGAGTTACTACCGGTCCAAAGCCTCGGTGAAGGAGGAGGGTTGGATATGGGATTAGCGACCCCATCCCGTAGAAAACTAACTCGCTAAAAAACGCTAACCAGAATCAACAAATTAAACCATTTTAACCCTGTGCTGGGAGTTAAAAGGTCTTCATTTAGAAGAACTATGACGTCTCACGGTGAAAACAGGGTTCCTTCGGAAATCACGGGACCGTTGCCCCTTTTAGCAACTAGAGCAACAATTGTTATGGGTACATGAAACGTACCGTCAATGCGCGAGACCGGGAAGACCAGTCAAATACCAACGGAAATGAGAAGATACAACTTGGCATTACTGGGAATCTGCGAAACCCACTGAACTCAAGCTGGACAACAAAAGCTAAGTACGGGAGAGGTGCTGCTGTACTCCGGTCACTAAGAGGAAAATGCTACACACACTCAGGGAGTTGCTCTTATGCTGTCCAAAGTAGCACGAAATGCACTTGTAGGATGGGAATCTCATGGATCCAGAATCATCAAAGCATCATTCAAAACAAAGAATGGAATCACGATGAATGTTATCCAATGTTATGCATCCACCAATTATAGCAACTACGACATTAAACATCAATTCTATGAGAGGCTGAAATCAACCATAGCGAAGTGCCCAAGAAAAGATCTCACTATTCTGATGGGAGATCTAAATGCCATAGTCGGAATAGACAATACTGGATATGAAGACATCATGGGACGACATGGACTGGGAGAGAGAAACGGGAATCGAGAATGATTTGCAAATCTATGTGCATTTAAGAAATTGGTCATGGGAGGTACAATATTCCCACACAAACGTATACATAAAGCTACATGGAGGTCACCGGACTACACCACAAAGAACCAGATAGATCATATTTGCATTAATAGAAAATTCCAAAGGAGCTAAAGAACTGGCAGACTGGACAAACAGCACTACAAAGGTTCAATACAGCCTTCCTTCGAGATACTGACAAACTCAATGAATTCAAGATAGCTCTCAACAACAGGTTACAAGCCTTACAGGATCTACTGAGTGAAGAAGAATCTACTGTGGAGGACAACTGGAAAGGTATAAAAGAAGCATTAACTTCAACGTGCCAAAAGGTCCTGGGCTTCAAGAAGCACCATCATAAGGAAAGGATCTCTATAGAAACTCTAGACAAGATCAAAGAAAGGAGGAACAAGAAGACAGAAATCGACAACAGCCTAACACGAACAGAGAAAGTCCAAGCACAGGCTGAGTACACAGAAGTAAACATTCAAGTGAAGAAGATAATCAAAACCGACAAGCACAAATACGTGGAAGAACTAGCAACGACGGCGGAAAAGCTGTAAGAGAAGGAAATATGAAACAGCTTTATCACACAACGAAGAAACTATCAGGAAATATAGTTAGCAAGAGAGAGACCGATGAAAGACAAAGGAGCCGAGATAATCACTGCGACTTACGAACAGCGGAACGGAATGGCCATCAGACAAATCAAGAGCGGGAAAGCAGCAGGACCTGACAATAGGCCAGCTGAAACTGTGAAGTCAGAACTTGAAGTAACCAAAAACATGCTTCACCTTCTATTCAAGATTTGGGAGGGACAAGTGCTGATGGACTGGAAAGAAGGACACGTCACCAAGATTCAAAGGAAGTAGATCTGAGCAAATGTGAAAACTACAGATGCATCACACTATTGCCAGTAC